AGGCAGAGATTTGTTTAGAATTTGTCGAGTTGTTCTGTATTCTTTATCTGCGTTTCGAGTTTGTTTAGACAAAGAGACTACGCTATACGGTCGTACAAGACGTATAGTAATACCCTGTATACCCCGCTCTTACTCCGCTCGTAGAAACTTTCCTAATTTAGAGCTACTAAATTAGGAAATAACTTTAAAAAGCTTCGAATATCGTACGGAATTCTGTAAGACCGGTTAGTAGGAAACTCTAAAAAAGAAAGTTATAAATAGATGCGGTATATACTAACTAGTCTATATTTTTAATATTAGCTTAATAGGTATAGTATTCGTTTAGATATTTAGATTTAAAGTAAGATGTATTTTAAATTATTAAAAATATCTTTTTTCCTAGCGAATTCTAAATAACTAGATAGCTTTATAATAAATTATATAATTTTTTAAGTATATAAAAAACTATTTTTTATTTTTCTAATTCTTATATATATAGCTTTTTTAAGCTATATTACAAAATTGCTTTTTAAACACTATTATTTTTTTTAGCTTTCCCTATATCTATATAATTAGATATATTATATTACGAGATTTCTTATTTTTTTAGTATATATATTAATATTTTAATACTTCTATTTATAGCTACCATATCTAAAGAGTCAGCAGTTCTCTCCAAATTTTGTCCCATTTGATTTATTAGTATTAGTAATATAATCTAGTACCGTTAGGTAGTAAAAAAATTAGATTTTTTTTTAACTATATATAGAATTTTTTTTTATACTATAACTAGTAAAACTATATAGATATTAATTTCCCTAATAATATATTCTAATATATTTAAAAATTAATATCTCTCTAGGTTTACTAGATATAGCTTTAGAAAACATTATAATATATTTAAAAGAAATCAAAATAAGGACTTATATAGGATGCACTTTATTATAATTAATAGTATAATAGTAATTACTAATAAATAATTAATTCTCTTTAAATATTAATTTATTTAATATATTTTAGTTTATTAGTATTAGTAATATAACCTACTTAGTTTAGATATAAAAAAATAGATTTTTTTTAGCTATATATAGATTTTTTTTAAATAGTGTATCTAGTAAAACTATAAAGATATTAATTTCTTTAAAAATATATTCTAAAACGTTTAAAAATTAAGTTCTCTATAGTTTTACTAGATATAGCTCTAGTAAATATTGTAATATATTATAGAAAAAAAAGTATTAGGACTTATATATAATACACTTTACTATAATAAGTAGTATAATAGTAATTCCTAATAAATAAGCAGTTCTTTCTAAATTCTGTTTTGTTTAATTTACTAGTATTAGTAATATAATCTACTTCGTTTAAATCTTAAAAAAAACTAGATTTTTTTAACTATATATAGACTTTGTTTTAATAGTTCATCTATAAAAACTATAAAGATATTAATTTCTATAAGAATTTATTATTGGAATTTTAAAAATTAATATCTCTATAGTTTTACTAGATATATCTATAGTAAATATTATAATATATTCTAGAAAAATAAATACTAGGACTCGTATAGAATACAACTCACTATACTAAATAGTATAATAGTAATTACTATAGTAATAGTAATTACTAAATAGTAATTACTATTACTGTTACTATTACTATTACTATAGACTTTTCTGTAGAATTACTATTACTATTACTATTACTATTGCCAATTTAACTTTACTATTTACTATTTACTATTACTATTACAATTACTAAGGTTTTTGCATCTCTGGCGCTCACGTGTCGCTCTCGTTTTATCAGAGATAAAGCAGCCGCGAATTCTCACAGGGGTGGGGATCAAGACGATGTGCTAACGACTCATGAGTTAGAGAGACAGGATGGGTTTGCTAAGGCAACAGCACCCTACTGTGTGTAGGGACATGCTGTCTCGTGAAGTTGCTTATGGGAGATACGGTAGGTTAGTGATTGCGTTTGGGAGGTTTCGTTTGCGAACAGCTGCAATGGCGTCGTTTCTTCCAGCCAGAGAGAATGAAGACGAGGTTCTTGCTAGATCGACGTCCACTGCCTTTCGCCTCAGTTGGTATTGCTGGAGTCCTGAGTAACCTCACCCCATCGTTTCAAAGCAGAGCATAGCGTGCATAGTCGGATTGCTACCTTTGCGTCCGTCTGTCAAGATTCACTGATTGGATGGCCAACTATCTCTTCCGCAAATGTTGGGAGAGTGAGATGGCTCGGAGTGTGCTGAGATGGCAGGAACCATTATGGTCAGAACAAAAAGCCAATCGTAGCAGAGAAGATGGCTCAACTCAAAACTTATTTGCCACTTTGAGCAGCAGCTTCGCGTCGATTGTTTCAATATTCCTGGCCTTCTTCGGATTATGGCGATAGCATCTGAGCGGCCAGGTGAGATCTATAGCTGTCAGTTCTAGAAGGCTGTTCACGATTGCATGTCAGAGAAGCGTTCTTCACCAGAATGCTGCTGCTTTTTCATGATCTTGAGCTCGCGGGTGTAACTCGCATGGTGTGCAAACATGACCAGCACGCAACGGTTTCAGTGCTGCAGATGCCTTGCTTTGACAGAGCTTCAATAAGCAGACTGCATATCACGTCCGCATTACAACCATGCCGGAGGAAGATTCGGAAGGTGTGGCTCTCTATCCCTACGTCTTCGTACTCGGTCAGTATACCAGGACTATCGGAATGTTCGTATTTCACCTCCCGTGTTCTGCGCCGGAAGCTATCTGTATTGCAAAGCTGTCCGCAGCGGGCCACGGAAGCTCAAAGGTACAAAATTGTATCCCGATACCGATTCAAGACTCCGGAGGCAGTGGGAAGATGTCCTGAGGTTCCAGTGCAGCAAGCAATCTCCGCACTTGGACACTGCTTGTAGCTGGGCTTGTCCTATTTGGGGATACATGCTGGCATAAAAGAACAAAAATGCTATCCTTGGCACTGCCGAGAAACACTTCCGGCGAAGCCTGGTGACACTCTTTCATGGTATATTACCTCCACACGACAAGCTTTTGCATGGTCGCCGGTCGCCGAAGGCTGGCTTTCTCAGGAGAAGTGCATTATTGCGGAGGTGTCGCAGACTCGCAGGGAGGATTCGGCGAGCAGCCAACTTCCAAGCCGAGGGGAGAGGAGTCGTCGAGCTGCCTGGCAGAAGTCTGTTGCGGTGCGCTCGATCCTCTGCGGGCGCTGGCCAATTGCGAATTGGACACACGCCGTGTCATCTGAGAAAAATCAATACAGCTGACACTGTCAAATAATGGCGTGTGTAGGGGCTCTGTCCCTCTTAAAAAGGATTGGGCCTGCCATTTCCACGTGCAGAACAGCAGTGAGATCTTTGTTTGTGGTAAGCGAAGCGAGGAGGACAGGCCTGGCAGCCGCGTGCAGGCTAGTTCTAGGGTGCAGGAAAGGTACTTCTGTGAGAGTGTTTGGCTGACCAGGACTGCTGAGGCTGCGGATGAAACGTGTATCCGTGTGAGCCTCACACAAGCCAATCGTGCTGTGCTCGAGCGGCTTCTCTGTGACAGCAGTGTCTGGGAATCGCTGATTGCTGCCATGACTTCTCGCGAGAAGCAGGAAGATTCGAATGGTGTAGCAACTAATCGAGCGCCGGATTCATCAGCACATATTATATTGACTTTTTGCAAGATTGAAACAGTTTTGTCAGCGGCGATCAGAGATGTCATCACCTCGGAGAGATCTGCTCCTTCACGTGTGCGAACATGATTCCAGCGAAGGGGTCAAGCTGAAGGAACGGCGTGTGAATCTTCCCGTCGCATGGTTTGTGCAGGTGAGTAATCCTGGCCACCGTCTCTTCTGCACCCATAACTTATAGCACAGGACCACGGTGTCCGCCTTGGTTACCCCCTTGGCACTAGATTCCGACCTACTTCCTACGAAAGCGCATTGCTCCAGCGGCAGCTGCATCTAGTGTTCGGGCAGTGCACAAATTGTTGCTGTCAAATGCAATGTTGGCGCCTGAACAATGCCTCACAGACCGAGCGCTATGCGGAAGTGTCCGATGTGCGAATTGTGCTCGTGCTCGTACGTTGTATACTCAGCACGTTGTGTCCGGTGTGGAGCAACGAATCTACCCGAGATTCAGACGTTGTGATTCGCTCGCAGTCACAGTCCCGAACAATTTTTTGAGCGGAGTTGTGTGTTCGGCCGCAGGTGTGCATAGCATCCGAGTAGTGACCGAACACATGTCGGTAAGGTACGCAGGTACATCGCACTCGCTTGCTCGTACGACAGCGAAGAAGCACAGCATCTTAATTTGCTGCGTGGATACTGCGCTGTAACATGCAATTCAAGCCACACATACACCCCGAATCTCCCGTCAGACGGTCAGGCCGTCAGTAGCACAGCATAGGGCTGGCTGTATACGCTCGCTGTGGGACGAGATACGAATGCGATCGCATTTCCCATTATTGCGTTGCCTGATTCCTTGCGCTCCACTGCGGCCTGGAGAAATTATGATTGCGCATGCCACGCGGATGCCCATGATCCTTTCTGGGCCATGTCTCAAGAGGGCCTCAAGCAACTCTACGAAATAATAATGTCTCCGCTGTCTCAAGTGACAGGAGTCAAGTCAAGTGGCTGCGAGCATTGATTACCACATTCAGCAGGATGACTACGGACAGCTCGCAGAAGCACTGCCTTCTGCCCTTGGTGATGAAAGAGCAGCGAAGTAATCATGCAGCCGGAAACGCGCAGCTCCGTTGTGCGATTGGCCAGGCAGACGAATCCTTTGCGACTGACGCACAAGACCACCGGAGCCAGGGTGTGTGCTGCGGCCGTTAGGTGACTAAACTCCAGAAACTGAGTTTGCAGGGGCCTCTGCGCTCGGACAGGCAGGCAGGCGAGCAGGGACCGGACGGCGTGCGGAAGACCGAAGACGGTGTTTAGGAACGCTGACGACGGAGCTTGCGGCTTCCAAGGCACTGCTGCTTTGAGGATATATCTCTATACTCCTTCGTCCCGTTGTTGTCTGTTCAGCTTCCCTACTCCACAACATCAACACAACACGCACTCAAGACAATCATTGTCAATCACCAACAACGACCAAGAACACCATCGCCTTTGAACAACTTCGGACTTCACCAGCCTAGCTCTCCACCCGATAACTTTATTGTTCGGGGTGACTCAGGCAGAACCCTTTCGCCATCACAGCAGTATCTGACTCACCGGACGCATACATACAACATGACTTCTCATCTGAGGCTTCAAGCTTCCTTCGAGCCATTCACGGCCAACGCTACCTACCAGACTGCCCCAACTCTGCCACCAGTCAAGAAGCAGAAGATGTCTCTCACACAAACATACTACATCGCCTCGACCGCGAGGACCAAGCTCGGTCGCGAAGCTGGACGAGCAGACCACGATCTACGACTACTCGTCGGACACGCCAACCTCTTGGACTCTCTAATGGTCGAGCTCGCCGATGCCGAGCGGGAGCAAGAGGCATGGTTCAACCAGTCCGTCAACAAGGCATCCACGCCAGAAGAGCCACGACATGTGCAATGGATCGACACCATTGCTGAGGAGGATGACGATGACGATGACGATGACGACATGGAGTCCGACGATGGCTCAGACATCTACGACGAGGACGCAGACATGTTCAACATCCCCCTCAAGAAGATCCGATCACCACCCGTCGAGATCTCATCAGAAGAAATTGACGATGAAGCCGACTCTGATGACGAGTTTGACGACGAGCACGCTTTGATTCGCGTCCCATCACAACACTCTCCGCCAGAGCTTACTCTCGACTCCGAATCAGATTCCGAAGACGAGTCGATCCCTTCGCCAGAACAACCGCCTTTCGAGCTCAGCGAAAAGGAACGACAAGCAATCACAACTACAGACTTCTACTCAAAACCTCAATCGATTGAGAATCTGCTAGCGCAGCAACATCAGCAGCCCATGATCGCGGCGTGCTAAGCGCTTCTCACCAAGTCTTGTTGTTCTTGTTGTTATCATCCAGCGTTCTCAGCGAAGCGAGCATTTTTGTGGGGGGGCCATAAATCATGAAGGGAAAACAGAACATTTTTGTTGAGCGCGATCTCATCTCATCTCAGAAGCAAGGAAAGGAATTTTTTATGTTCATACAAACACATACACCAGTTACATTGGCGGTTCTCCCTCTCACCAGTCAGAGGTAGAAGAACGCTTGGTTGGAAGATGGAATGGAATGGAATAATAACAATCAAAACATTCGAACATCATCACTCTCATCTCTGTCTGTCTCTCTATTCACCCTCTCTCTCCCTCCCCCCTCTCGCTGATCCTTCCTTTGCATCGCCGAATCATCCCTCCAGATGATCTCCTCATGCAAAAAAAAAAACAATCACTTCTCATTCACCGCAATACAGTACAGTACAGTACGTAGGTACCTCGGCGACCACGCCCCTCTACGGAACGTTTCGTCCGCACGGGCCGAAACGAAAGAAAAAAAAAAGCTGCTTGCTTGCTTGCCTGCATAAGCTCCCCTGCCTAGCCGGGCCGGGGGCGGCGAGCCGGCCGCAAACTCGCACAACCACAGATCATGAGATTATGCACTGATGAAATGTTTCCGGCGTCCGGACTCCACTCCATGATTATTAGAACAGCAGGGGAGTTTTGTGATCTGTACGAAGGGTTGATCATGTCGCCGACTAGTTTGACCTTTTCGTTTTTCGTTTCAACTTGCCAAGGTGTAGAGCAGAGCCACGTGTAGAAGAATGGTGTGAGAGCATGTTGGTACGAGACTCGATACTTTTACTCTTTTTCTTTTTTCCAAAACAACAGCAGTAACGACTCGGCTGCAAGCGCCTAGACGCAAAGATCAATCCTCTTCTTCCAACTTCCATGCCATCCAAAAAGCACATACATACACCATACCGGTATGCCACGAGGCAAAGACGTCACTACTCCCCTTATCATCATCATCATCATCATCATCATCATCATCCCAATGGCTGCCATCACATGTACATGTAAACTTGAAAACAATGGAACCAACCTTGAACTGCAAGGTACACGTGGATCTGCTACTCATTAGGACGTCTGCGATGACATCGATAAACCATGTAGGAAGTTGGGTTTTCTTATGAATGAAAGGTTTCTCGAGCAACCGAAAATTCCACAGGATTGATGCTTGTAGTTGAGTTAACAAAAAAATCAGGCAGAGATGCGAACTTGGAGCTTGATGAAACTTCCAACTTTTTTTTTTCTGTAGACGTCTCATCAACAACCACATGGAAGTCGGAACATCGCTCCGCACCGCATGTGAACGATTTTTGAAACATTTTGACCCGTAACAACTAGATGCAGGCAGGAGTTCTTGATATAGAAAAAAAAACCAGTTTTATATAATCTAGACCTGAGATTCTAGAAGATATAATAAGTACATAGTACAAATCCTGTCGTTTCGTATGCAAATGCCAGAAGAAAAAAAATATATATCAACCCCACTCATTCATTTTCAAGAAAGGGTATCAAATCACATCACATCACACACACACATCAAATCTCCTGCACCCACATCTCCATCTTCCCCATATCAGCCCGATCCTTGACAGCAACAGCCTTACACATAGCGACAGCCATATCAAGATCATCCTGGTCAGCCAAAGTCACCAAATCGCCATCCTCATCGCGAATCTTAAGTTTAAAAGCACCTTGCAAAGCGAACTTCGATCGGATTTGTGATGAAAGGTCGCCGTAAGTGACAGAAGGGGAAGTCATGACATATCGCATATCTTCGGCATGCACTTTGATGCGAAGTTTCCGAAGTTCCGGCGCACGACGAGAAGAGTGGGAGCGGTGGGAGTGTGACTGCTGCTTGGGAGGGAGGATTATTTCGAAGGCGAGGGGGGAATGGATTGAATCGGAGGGTGAGATCACATCATCCTCGTCTTCTTCTTCGATTGCGACCGGCTGACTGCGGTGCGCACTTGATCGCGAGCGCTGATGTGATGAGGCTTGTTGTTGCTGTTGTTGCGTGATGACCTGTTCACTGTATGCCTCAATCGGGTCTTCCTCGATCCGCACTTCCGGGATTTCTCGATGCTGCACACTTCTTTGCTGCTCACGCGCACTCTTTCCTTCTCTGCCTCGTGTTGTTGATCCACCTGAAAATTCTCGTCTCATGGGAGGACGTTCGGACTCCGATCGTTTTGTGCCTAGCCGTGGTCGCTCGGCTGGGCTGGTTTTCTGCTCAAAAGCTGCCACGCCGAGTTCCAGCCGTAATGGCTTCGCCGAGGGCCGGGCGGCTTGGAGATTTGATCTTTCAGAGCTGGTGCTTTCGGAAGATTTTCTCTTGCCGTGGGCAGAATCGGGCCGCTCGAGCTCAGGTGGTGGCGTTGGAGGGAATACATTGCGGTGAATGGGCGGCTCTGACTGTTGTCTTGCGCCCCGACTGCGCAAATCTGGTCTCACGAGGTTGAGCGCAGCATACGAGAGCTTCTCACCAGGCCGGTCGTCGATTCCGGCAGCCGCAAGAGCAGCTTGCCGGCGTGGATCTGAGCTTTGATAGTCCTGCGCAGCGACCAATCTCGCTCTCCCAAGGTAGTCCTTGGCCTTGAGATTCTTCACCTTGGCCTCGTTTGGTCTGTAGACAAGGCCGACTGGGATGGAAAACACCGTATACCCCTCGGCCTGCTCGCGAATGGCTTCGTCAATCACGTCGTGATCCGGCACCATCTTTTCTCTTGTCGCAAAGATGAGATCTTGCATGCCAGCGTCTTTCTGCTGGAGGTAGATGTAGCACAGGCCTCGGTTGAACAGGACTTCGCAGGAGTACAGCTTGAACTTGAGGCCCAGCTGCTCGTAGTCGATGTTGTTGTTGCCTCGAAGATATAGCAGAGTATCGTTGAAGTTGGCCAGAGCCTCTTCAAAGTCGCCCATGAGGAAGTTACTGACGCCTTGCTGGAAGTACGAAATGGCAAGGTACTGGTCGAGCTGGACTGCGCGCTGGTAGCACTCCACAGCCTTCGCGTGTTCGCCCAACGTCGCATGTATCACCCCACAGTTGAACAAGATCTTGGACGTGTCCGCTATCTGCTCGAAGCATTTGATGGCATTGTCGAACTCATTGTTGTCGTACGCAGCCAGCGCTGCGACCCAGGTCTCTATCTCTTGCTTGAGCGACATGGCGAAGATGCGCTGCGACTCAATCTTCCCAGGATCAATGGCTCCGGGTCGACACCTGACGAGGTACTCCGGCGGCTGGAGCTTGCGTCAGGCATCTAAGGTGGGAACGGTGCTTTTCGCATTGGCAGTGCAGACTCACGAGAGGAGGTGGAGTGGAGACGGACAAGGAGAGAAGAACTCACGACAGGGAGTCTGCGACGATATACAAGTCCCATGCCGTCCTACCAAGTGCGGAGCGCGTAATGTATCGACGAAGCGAAGCGTGAAGACGGAGCGGCGCTTGGTGCCCACCTCCCAGCGCTTAACCACGATGTGGGATTCGTCTCGGCCCACGTGACATGTCCGAGACGCCAATGACATGTCGTGCTGGCCGTCGACATTTCTTCGCCGAGCGAGCCACCAAGTTGAGCACCGTCAACCATCTCTCCGAATTGGTCGCTGCTCATGCAGGAACGGCATTTCCTGTACGCCAAGTCACCGTCTCCTGCTCAATCACACCACATCCGTAGACGGCGCACGACACATCCTCTGCACTGTGCAGCTCCATGTGCATCGCTTGACGGCATGAAATGTGCACTTGATCACAATTGACACGCGGCTGGGCTTCATCTCGTCACAAGCAAGCAACTTCTGGCTGGTCGCTTCTTGAGCGAGTCTAGGAGAGGGTATCAATGTGAAGCTGATGTGATTTGATGCTGGCTTGCACATCTACCAGCCTGGCGAGACGTCTCGCTTCAGCTTGGTCAAACGATTTGCAGCGTCGCATACATCGTGAGGCTAGAGATGATTTGATGAACTTGGGTGAATGCTACCGGCCCCCCTCTAGCAATGCTCTCGTAGTCGTCGTTCGATACATGGATCACATGTGTATGCCGGCCTAGTAGCCACAGCTACCATGATTTAGTGCAACGCCGAAAAAAATGCCTTCTCCCAGAAGATGCTCATCAATGCGCCTGCCCATGCGCCGTCCAATGCACATGCTTCCCTCCCACGCCGTTTGGGGTATATCTAGGATGATATGTGTATATTTCGGGGATCGCGAAACCAGGTCATGGCAAGAGCAATCACGATAAAGATCGTCGGACCAAGACCGTTCAAAGCGGCTAGTCATAGAATGCGGCATGAATTGCTTTGATACCTAATCAACTACAGTCAGTCTTCATCAAACTCGAATATTAATTGCCTTGAAGATGTTGTCAGTGATGTTCCGATGATAGACAGACATGCGGAAACATCGCTGGATCAACGTAGCAAGAATAAGAAGAAGGGAAGCTTACCATCTTTGCGTCTCCATCCTTCGAATCCACGTTGCCGTGATCTTTAATCGCTCTCGCACCGTTCGCGTTCCAAGAAGCTTGTACTTCTCTTCCTCACTGATGGGGAGGACACTTGCAAACCAGTAAGGAAACAATGCTGCATCTTCTGGTGGCTGTCCGTGAATGTCCAAGACTCTTTGCTGGAGCCAATTCGCACTCCTGCCTTGCATGCGCGTGATGAATGTTTGACCGAGCATGTGCAGCTCTTGCGTCGACATCCTAGTAACCTGACCGGCAATGTCGCCATCTTGAGCGGGTGGCAACGAGGTCTCCTCCGCTTCTATTCGCTCTTCTTCCACCAGACTGACATCGTCCAATCGCTCAATATCGCCCACTGTGTATCCGTCCAGGGATCCGTGGCTCTTCACGCGGAAACGATAAAGTCCACGAGTTTCGATCAGACTGGTGCCATCTGCCAACAGTTGTGCGTGAACGATGTGGAGCATGGTTCCGTACTGATAGAAGTGGACAGTGCCAAGGTCGCCCTGGGGCTCTCCGTATCGGTTGTACATCAGCATGCCAAATTGTCGATTCCCTTCTAGGGCTCGCCGCAGCATCAATCGATATCTAGGTTCGAATATCCGCAAAAAGGTCGGTTGGTGTGGGAAGCCGAGGGCGCACACGAACAGCGGTACGTTGGAGAGGCCACGACTACCTCTCTCTTCAGCAGCCACAGCTTCCGCTCGCGAGCTAATCATTTCCGGGCAAAGTCCATTGAGCAGACTGACCAGGGTCTTGTTGCTGGGCTGCCTGAAGAGAGCAGGGGGCAGCGCAAGATCCCGACGACACACAGGGCAATGGAGCGAATGATCGAGAACTCTTGCCATGCACTCACGGCACAAGGTGTGGCCACAGAAAGTTGTGACCGGATCCAGCATGATGTTGTAGCAGACCTGGCAATCGACCTCTTTCTGGGTGGCTTCCAGAAGCTCATGGAGTACGCTGATGTCCAAAGCTTTGGTTGTCCCATCGGTCTCGGACGAAGCAGAATATGTCAAATCGGTATTGTAATCCAGGTCACCTCTGGCAGCCAAGGAATATGTCGCGACTAGTCTTCCGCCACGTGACTGATCAACTTTCGGCTTCTCGGTTGCAGGCTGGGAACTGACCACTTCATCCCAGCGCGCTCCTTCCTCAATCAACATGGGACTGCTTTGCCTAAGCGATTCATGCTTCGCAACCACTTCCGCTATGGATTCCATGACTTTGGTCAAGACCACATCGATATTGCAATCGGACGCGGGATGTTCCAATCCGCAGTCTCGGAATGGACACTGGATTCCATGGCGACGACCAGGCAAGTCCGGGTAGGAGATGTATTCTCGCTGATGAGTTGCGGGTAGACAGTGTTTGCATAGCGAGTTGCCACATGGAAGGGTGACTGGATTCCGGAACGGCCGCGAACACTGCGTGCATTGGATCAAGCGCACCAGCTGCCTCGCATCTTCATGTGCTGCTAAGGCAGCGGGCGGCGCACTCTTCTCCAATTGCACGCCATCTTGGCGCATGAAGTCGTCGGATTTTGTCGCCAGGTTGAAGGGTTGGCCTGCTGGCGGGGCGAGGTATGAGGTATCCAGCTTGCTGCGTGTCGCGGTCTCATACGCAGCCTATGTGACGGCGCCACTCCTCCATGTATTGCAGGTGTTGTTCGGCAAGCTCTGGTGAGACGGTCGAGAGGCTGAGGTGTTGTGCGATGATGGACTACTCAGGTGAGCAGTGAAGTGGTGGGAGGTACTTGTGCTGGGAATGACGTCTTCGGGGACGCGGTGCAGCCAGTTCGAAGGGCCCAAGGCTGAGCACGGACAGCGGGTATGAATCAGAAAGCTCGGAGGCGACACAGGTCAGGGTGGGAAGAATGGAAGGCAGTGGCAATGCTGGACAGCCGAAGAGGGTCTCTGTGCAGAAAAGAGCGGTGGCGTGTGAGAGTGAGACGTCGACGTGGAGGAAGACGTTCCCGAGAGTAGTAGTGTGGTGGTCATGGAGCACGCAGCACTCCTCAGGTCAGGTCCGGGGGGCCAATGGCCACGCGCGATGGCGGATCAGCAGGGATCCGCGGGCGAAAGTGCGAATCATGATGAGATGCAGCGTCGTGCACCGCTGGGCTTGGCAGCGAACATCAATAATTCTCGCCATGCCATGCCAATAATAATCTCGCAGCAACAAGTTGTTCGCTGCAGTGCAGTGCAGAGCAGCAGAGTGGGTGGCCTTCCGCAAACTCTGATGCCTGCCCGCCGTGCCCCGCGCTATATCGGCGCGAATCGATCGGCGCACACTCGAGCATTCTATGCCGCGATCGAGACCCCGCCCAGCATCGGCTTCGACCAATATTACCATCATGGACGCCCATCGCACCCATCGACGACTTGTCCTGTCCGTTTCCGGCCGTGGCGACGTGCATTGCTGGTCCGCATGCCAGTCCGTATGCTTGTGCGCATGTCCCCGGAACCACCCCGCTCCGACAACTTCGGGTCCCGATCATATCATAGATAGCAAACCACGCTCGGTGACTATAAATCGCGGCGGTCGGCTTAGATTACAGTATCGACGTATATTGCCTGCCTCTACGGCTTGCGTTCAATAATGAGGAAGGCGCGGAGACGGAGATGGCTCACGCGAACCACACCATGATAAGCCCGTTTGTCCGCTACCACCGTAAGATCCATCTCCCGAGTCATTTACATCATAATCGACGGTCGTTCATGATGGATGTCTCGTCTCCTATTTCCATCAACCGCATATGCCGTCTAGAGTCTAGAACGCGGAATGTTGCCGAATTGCACAGGACCCCTTCACCAAACAATGCTCAACAACAAGAAGAGCTTCATCTATAACAATCAATTCCGCGCTCAATCTCTACAATATACACAAAGCCACCTGTCCCATTCCTTCTACAACTTCGCACCCTTCTGCCAAACCGGCCCGCTCAAGCTATCATAAACATTATAGCTCAAAATGTCATTCGGCACAGGCGTCGTATGCATACTCAAAGCCCTGCTATCAACCATACTCGGCTCCAACTCCTCAATCTTACTCGCCCCAATCAACCTCATATTCATCTCCATCTCATCCTTCAACAACTGCATCGCCCGGTCCACACCTGGAAGTCCGTACGCCGACATGGCATACAAAAACGGTCGACCAATACCCACACCTTTCGCACCCAAACACACCGCCTTAATAATATCGCTCGCCCTTCGAATCCCCCCGTCGATGAAAACTTCGAGTTTCCCTTCCAACCCATGTCTCCTCAACTCCGGCATAACCTCTGCCAAAATCTCTATCCCACTCCGTGCGGTGTCTAATTGTCTCCCCCCGTGATTCGAAAGCACGACGCCATGCACCCCGTAACTCACCGCTTTCATCACATCCTCCACCCTCTGCACCCCTTTCAGAATAATCGGCATTTTCGTGATCCTCAAGAACCAAGGGATATCGTCCCAACACAATGCCGGATCGATGAAAGAGCTGATCGCACGCGCCGCGCCTTGTGATCGATCGACCTGATCTCCACCCGTGTTCTGCACATTAGATCCCGTATCGTCGAATTTCGAACGCATATCTTTTTCCCTTCGACCCAACTGCGGAGCGTCGACGGTGATGAACAGTCCTTTACAACCTCTTTGCTCCGCATGTTGAACAATCCTCTTCGTGATATCCCGATTCTTGTTCACATACAATTGCAGCCATTGCACCTGATCGCCTTCTCTTGCATCTACGATTTCGTCGAAAGAGCACGAGGCTAATGTCGGGATCATTTGGATGACATTGTGTTTTTTCGCGCCTCGTGTCAGTACGACTTCGCCTTCGGGGTTTCCGAGTTTTCCGAGAGCTGTGGCGGTTACGTAGAAGGGGATGCTGACTTTTGTTCCGAGCATGGTTGTGCTGAGGTCGACGTTTTCGACGTTTACGAGGACTTTGGGGCGGAACCAGATTTTGTGGAAGGCTGAGTGGTTTTCTCGCATGGTCTGAAGCGCACGCATTAGCTTGGGTCTGAGAGGAGAGTCGTTGTATGGTGCTCACAATCTCATCGTCGGCACCGCTTGAATAGTATGCCCATGCCGTCTTCTTCATGACTCTTCGGGCTACGGCTTCGAAGTCCATCATGTTGTAGCATTGTTCCAGGATCGGCATATGTTTGATGCGCTCTTGTCGTTCCACCTCGAAGGGATCTTCTTCTTTCTCTTCCTTCTCGACGGTCTGCATGTTTACCTCACCCAAATGCTTGCTCTTGTCTAGGTACTTGTCGAGGGTGTCCGGTGGATGGATAGGTTCGTATTCTTCGGTGGCGTCTTTACCGGCATATTTGAGGATGATCTTGGGGCCGCCTGGGTGTTCGGGCAAGACTAGATTGATATTAGCATGTGTAGAGAGCATGTCTGTACTGGAGTATACTGACATTCCGTAACATCGTATCCCTTGCCATGGATAATGACCCAGCAAGACTCTCTGCTGTTGTGCTGTGCGATCTCTTCACCAGTAAGCTGCTTGCTCTTGGGCTGCTTGTTCGGATCCTCGTGATTCATCTTGACTGAATGAGAATGGTAGATAGTACAGGGTATCACAATGAGAGAGGAATGGGAGAAGAAAAGCAGTCGCACAAGATGGCAACGCCCCAGGTCAATATGATGTTCAGTGACCCTTGACTATTGGCGATCTTAATACTCCTCGAAGCGCTCGATGGCGTAGCATGCGTCCAGCCTCATCGTCCGCGGCTTCACCTCTCGCCTTCCTCTTCCCCGAGAGCAGAGGTCTACCCCACAAAAAAGTGAAAATGGAAGGTTGGACGAGCAAACGTGCCACGAGCGGCCAATGAGGTGAACAACATTTGAGGACAGGATTTTGCGGAGGCTCAATAACTCCGCAATAGCCGCTGATCAGGTACCGTGCGTTTGGAAATATTTGTTGCTGTGCGACGTCACGCCGACGTGGTCGATGGGAAGAAGTACGTGCGCAGGAACTGACCATCTTGTTGAGCATGGTAGCAGAGATGTGCAGCGGCATTAATGTCGGGAAACACACGTACAAGGCTGATATAACGAAATTCGGCCAGTCGCTAGTCGTACACGGAGAGAAATTCATAAGGCTTGGGTTGCACATTTGCCACCACTTGGATCAAATGTAGTAGAGGCGTCGTCAAGTCGTTTTCCCTATTGCATCTGAGCGAGAGATCACTCTGGCCTATCTTTATCGTATGCTCCTCGACTAAGATTTGCCTACTGCATGTGAGGACGGCGAAGGTTCTTAGTGGGTTCTGGCGATCGGCTCGTCCTGTCTCTTCGAAGTTCGGACAAAGGACGCGCGCTGCAATATCGGGTGTCTATGCCTGAGTATGAGCCGAGCACCAATGGCGCCTGGTGTCTGAAATGGCGGTCGAAGATTCCCATCGACTACTGCGCTGTGCGGCGCCGAATCTGCCGCTGCTCAGCTCGAAGATGTATCTTTCCCTCAATTACTTCCACATGACCCATCTCATCTCTTTTTCTTGCTCGGGACTTTTGTGAATCCGTCCTCGTCAACCTCAGGTATAGGCTTTTCTCGCGGCTGTGCAGGCGCTTGCAGGAGCTGTGGCGCCTCGTCCATATCCTCGTCCTCATCAAAACCATCCCACTCTTCGTCGTCGCCAACTTCCTGGTTCGTTTCCTGAACCACAATCTTTTCATGCTTTTTGCTTCCTCGATTCTCCCATCTCTGTTTCACCTCGTCCGCCGCAGCCGTGCTTAAGGTCTCAGTCATGGCTTTTCGCACTCTGAGGATGCCGTTCGCAAGCTCCACTTCCGATTCGTCTTCGATGTTGCAGTCAAACTCGTCCTGCATGATTTGTAGGAGGAAAACTTCGAGATCTTCTTGCATGTCGGCGAAGGTGAGCACAGCACCCGGAGCAGGATTGATATACTGCGGTTGATTCAAGAAATCGGAAACTGCGCCGGCGAACCAGTCGCGCTTGTCTGAAGAATTCCCTCCGCCCCAGCCATTATCCACTGCGATGGATAGCGGTTGCCATAGGTCAAGTAGATACCATATTGAGTTGTCAAAGGCAGTGATGAGTTGCGCTTCTGTCGCTTTTGCAGGGGCGCCCGCGGGCACAGGGCCATTTTGTGCAGGCGCGGCCATATTTGCGATGTGCTTGAGGTATTGATGTGTGGCTTGAATGGGTATTGGCGTTGCAGTCTAGCCAGAGTTTCTCGAGTCGCGCTGCTTTCGAGCGGTGCGGATCGGGAGTGCGGTCACAAGTTACTCGAGGTGGAGATTGCCTCAGGGCTGCTGTATGGCAATGCAAACATGTAGGGAAGCAGTGGTAGAGATGTGGATGTCGTTGGCCGTTGGACCGATCAATCACCGAGACCAAGGCAAACAATTTTTTGGACGCCAAAGCCACTGCATGCCAAGGCTATTCTCGCATCATTCCCCCTGGTGCCGCCAGGACAGTTAGGCATCTCACTTTGCAGGGAGAGCAGTCTGGGGTGCATATCGTTCCGTTCCAGATGTGCCTGTGCTCAGTGTGCTGTGATGACATGACGCGCTCGTGCCTAAGTTCGACTTGTGTGAAAGTCTGGCGCTCCTTTTCACAACCCGGCGATTGTTTCTGTGTTGAAGCCCAGCGTCTCAGGAGGGACACTAGAATATCCTGGATATCTGACACGGCCAACCTCCAGGCCTGACTGACTCGTTGTGCACAGCGTTGGGCAACGACTGCTTCGGCTTCTGGAGTCATTCCCCTCCTCTCACTACCTACGTGCTTGGGTTACGATATTGGGCGAAGATTTGAATAGACTGCATCAAGTGTTGCTATGTGTCCGATTGATCCGAACCACGTCCACGCCCCAATACTCTCGCCACGATGGCGGCATTGACGGCATAGGCATAGGCATAGGCATAGGCATCGGAACTCGTTGGACACCAGCATAGCGGGCTGCCACTCCGCCCTCACCGACGATGCCTTTCAACACCCTCACCGTCGCGTCCGCAGTCACGCCGTCGCTCATCGAGACCTACTTCTCTCACTACCTCAATCGCAAACCCCTCAAGCAGAAGCCGACCGCCCACATCTCCTACCATGAGGGTCTGCGATTGATTCGCCAATTCCTCGACTACAGCTCCAAGCACACCATAGAAGACCTGCAGGCCTTCACAGCGCAATCGGTGCCCGTTCCAACCTGGGTGAGAACGCAGGATGTGGAAATCCCGCCTCAGTTCCTCACTCGAAGTGCCAATGTCTTGCAGAAACAACTCGGTCCTCAAGGAATCGAGAAAGTCGGAGGCGAGAAGTGGTGGCAGTGGCGCCGACCTGAGAGTCCGCTCCATGCAGAATGGATTGAGATGAAGAAGCATCATAATGAGAGGAAACGGGCAGGCACGAGATGCGACCGAGTCATTCTCTACGTGCATGGCGGAGCATATTACTTTGGCTCTGTGGACGAGCACCGATACCAAATGCAGCGACATGCTCGGAAACTGAAGGCACGCGTGCTTGCTCCACGATACAGATTGGCACCACAATTTCCTTTCCCTTGTGGCCTGCATGACTGCATCGCTACCTATTTCTATTTGCTGGAGCACTTCGAGCCAAATCAGGTCTTGATCGCGGGAGACAGTGCTGGAGGCGGCATGGTCCTTGCTATGCTAGTCACCCTTCGAGATCAAGGCTGCCCGCTTCCCGCAGGCACTATACTCTTGTCGCCTTGGGTCGATCTCACCCATTCATTTCCAAGCACATCTGGCGATGGTGTAGGGGATTATATTCCACCTTGTGGCTTTCACCACAAACCAAGCATGGCGTGGCCACCTCCTCCGGTCAGCGATGAAGAGCCGAAGAAAGCGGAGCGCAAATTCACGCAGCCAGTCGAGCAGCCATTTGACGTGGTCGAGCTACCTGCAGACATTGAATCAATGTCTGTCACCACAAGGCCCAGCAGAGACAATCTTCGCGATCTAGCAAAAGAGGACAGGAAGAAGGCCGAGCCAATTCCAGCTATACCCGGCAGCTCGCTTCGCCTCGAGCTCGCTATTGATGACAAGCTTGTGATCATTCGAGAGCAGATCCAGATGTACGCGAGAAATGATCTCTTGACACATCCGTTAGTGTCAGCGGTACAGCAGCCTTCGTTGGGAGGCTTGCCTCCGATGCTGATTCAAGTCGGAGGCGCAGAGCTCCTGAGAGACGAGCAGATCTATCTGGCCCACAAGGCAGCAAACCCCACGGCATATCCTCCCAGCCATGTCATTCTGGACGTATACGACCCCGACCGAAGCGTTCTGAACTTATACCCGCCTACAGATGTGCAATTACAAGTGTGGGAAGATCTCTGCCACGTACCACATACGCTCTCTTTCACCCGGCCGGCCAAATATATGTACCGAGCAGTAGCACAATTCGGCGCCTGGGCATTGGCACGGGCTCAGCATAAATCCATCGAAATTCTCGACGATGATGCAATTTCTGTGATCAGCGAAGGTGAGGATGCGGATGAGTTCAAGGAGCAGAATGGTAACACTGCGTCATTTGGTAGCATTGGTGATGAAGGTGTTACCTCGACACAGTTCAAGCTGACCTCCACGGGAGCCGTTGGTAAAGCAGGCGATGAATTACCTCCATTCAAGGACCACATGATCCGACAACGAGTCAATCGCCACGGCACCATTTTTCCTCTGCCGCGTCAATCGGATATCAAGTGTCTACACCTGGATCCCAACACTATTGGTGCCATCAAACCAGGACCAGTACGAAAATGGCTAGCTAAAAGAGCAGAGAACGAGCAAAAGTTTGCCAGTGAATACAAGAAGATTGTCAAAAAGAAGATAAAGGAGCAGAAAGATTGGGATAGGGTGCAAGCAGGCGAGAATCCACCTCCTACAGCACTTATCAACAGGAGGCAAGCTGGTGTTGCGCCAGAGCAAAAGAAGAAGGGCAAGTCATGGGGTCTGGCAATGTGGAGTGGATGGGGCAGCTCTCACGACGAAAGCACAATACATCGAGAGGAGAAGGCGGTCGAAGAAAGAGAGAAGGCAGAAAATGGGGGAAACGAAGCCAACGATGTCCTTGCGGCAGCTGGATTCGCACGAACCGATAGCAGCATGCTCACTCCACGAAACCAGTCGATTGCCGGAAGCAACCGAGCATCATCACCATCACCTGCCACACTTACGGTGCCTGATCACGAGATGGATGCCGACACGAAGAACGGACGGAGAAGATCAAGTGCGAGCATATTGTCGACGCCTTGGAGCAGAAAGGATCGTGACGAGCCAGCAAGGCCAAGAAGTTCTTATCGCCAGGTCCAGGATGCCGGACAGGCTTCTGCCGACAGATCTTCGGCAGTCTCGCCCATATCACCGCAAGGAGGTGATTCACCAATGTTTGGTGGTCGCAGAGGGTTTTTCGATTTGAGTCGGCGTTCTAGTGCAGCGTCGGGGATGTTGAATTCTGGAGCAAGACCAGTGAGCGTGGTAGGAGCTGTGCCGCCTGCCTCTGAAATCCCGCCATCGCCGACTGTAACAGCGCCTGGCGCGGACCGTGGATCTACAGCGCCAACCATGTCGGAAGCCTCGTCAACAGGCAAGGAAGCCGTGAAAGTGCCTGGCAGCGATCACACATTCTTGAATCCTGAGAACAGCCGACCTCACAATGGCGTCGTCGCATATCCATTCAAGCTCAAGAATATTGGCAAAGCAGCCGCCAACAAGAGATCGCCAAGTCCAAATGCTTCCACCATGACTCTAGAATCGGTCGACGGAAGCGATCGGGCGTCTACCAGAAGCACGGAATCGTCTAGGTTGAAGGCCGCGCGCATCCTCGGCGTATCTCCCATGGAGCTTCCAAGCGATCTGCCAGGAACATCTGGCGCTGGCGGCACGAATGGCGCAAAGCGGGATCCGGGCTCCACAGCATCCCCGGACGAGCATCGATCAGGGTCTGAAACCGATATGATCCCGACCCTGGAAGTGTCACCAGCTGCTTTCCATGAAACTGGTAATGTGCAGGACGGAAATTCTTCTTCCGCCTCGTCTCGTCCGGTGTCAATGCTCCCGGAAAATGTTCGTGTCTCTCACTTGAAAAGCCCCGAAGAAAATCCAGTCGGTCCATTGAGCCCATCCGAGCAGCAGGATCCGATTGCAACGACCACCGCGAAACACCGACAAGGCAGAGTCGAATATCGAGATTCAAGGCTAGGTCAACTAGGTGCGGACGGAATGCCTACACAAGCATTTCCAGAAACGAGCAGTGCTTCTCGGCCGGCTCCATTCAAGATACGCAATCCTGTGTACGACAATCGAGCATCGGCGGATGTCACAGGGCAGACAGTGGATGAGCAGAGTCAACCGCTTGACGCATCGAAGCCGGCACCCTTCAAGATGAGGCATGTTGTGTACGACGCGAGAGTTGCGCCTGTTGGCAGCAAACCCCCAGGGTCTGATGCCGAAGCGGCAGCCTCTGTTGCAGCCAATGGCTCAAGTAAGAGCGAGACTTCACTTTCATCTGATGCCCAAGCTCTGCCAGGCACGGCAGTGACATCACCTGCTGCAACAGCCGCTGCTGTGGTAGCTGCTCAGCATGCCGCGGCCAGATCCGTCTCAACAAATTCGACAGCATCTCCCATTGATGATGAAAAGGAGGTGGTGCACTTCTCACATAACAACGCTAACCGTGATTTTCCGCAGACCAACAACACCACTCAGCCAACCGGGAATATTCTTTCACGCCCCGCGCCGCCGGTCAGGCCGAGCTCGAGCGGTCCACCACCAACGCCGCCACCAAAAGACCCTCCCAAATTGGAGAAGGAAGCGCACCCTATACTTCCAGCGAAGAGTCTGGCTCAGGGAAGATCTCGGGACAATCTGAAGGGGAGCGACGGAAGCATTAGTGGTCCTGATGACAACACTATATCGTCAACGAAGAGAAAGCCAGTGGCAGTGCCAACGAGCAAATTCTCGAGGAGCAACGAGAATCTCAGCAGCTATGGCAACGCACCTTCGCTACCAGCCGGTGCAGCAGCGGCATTAGCTGGAGTAAGGGCGAGATCAGCGAGTGCAGAGACGAGCGGGAGTTCGGAAGGGACATCATATGACAACCAGGCGGTATCTGCCGCAAGCGTTGCTTGCAACAACTCCGGAATGCGACCCGAGTTCGGAGTCCTTCCCCTTAGCAAATTCTCTCCTGCTGCCTCTTCGTCGCCCAAAGAGAAGCTACAAATCGACCCTCCAGCAGCGGCACCAGCACCCACTATCGGAAATCTGAGCTTCGAGCGCTCACCAGTGAAAGGAGACTTTGGTGATGCGACAACGATGGCGGAAAACACGAACACTACTAGTACTCCACGGCCTCCTCTAGAAACATTTATAACAGCACAAGAAGCTTTGGATCTTGGGATGAAGGAGGGACAGAAATTCTAATGATTGATTGATTGATCGGAGTGGAAGACGGAATTGATACGGTACGATCATCCAACAACTTGTAATGTTGATTCTTTTGAAACAATCATGCCTTCGAACACCGGTATGATGTTGTATGATATGAGTTGCTGCTGCTGTATACCTAGGGTTTTTCCGAGGAGGAATTGTAAGATTAGTGTGTTCGAATACTATCGGACAGAAGGCTTGAAGAAGAAGTATTCATTCCGAGGCCTTTGAGGCTATCTTCCACCTACCCTCTGGTTCGCATAAGGTAGTGGAAAGCGGTTGTTCGTCTTCTAGCTAGCTGGGCACGTAACGTGTGCAAGGAGGATTTCGTGTTTCCACCTTTTCGCTAGAGGCTTCTTTGATTCGCTCGTAAAGGAAAACGGAAAATCGTATTCGCCGAGAGCCGGCACTAACCAGGAGCTGGAGTCACGAAATCCGCCTTGCACACGTTATTTGAATCGTGTTTGATCTTCATGAAGCGAATGGCGGGCGGGGAAGCGGGTACTTGATGGGAGAGACATGGACTTTCCTGCCATTACCGGCGCCAAAGAAACTCCTGGCGTGCAGGCTAGCTGGTCTGAACAAGTACACGAACGGGGTAAGAAACGTATAGACGTATATACATGCTTTTCATACACCTAAGCCAACTCCATCTCCATTGCCAATTTTCGAGGCTTCCTAGCATAAAGTCCAACAACAGCATGAAAGATATCCCGCACAGGGGGGATTCCTCCGACATCGAAAATGCTCGATAATTGCTCTGGTCGTACGACACTTCTGTCGTCTTCAGGTTCACCTCCGAGTGTGAGTTGTGCGGTGGCAGATTGAATTTCTTCTGCGTTTGTGTCTTCTTGGAGAAGGGATAGTGCGGATGTTGTAGCCGTGGTATCGCCTTCTTCGATGGCGTTTTCCTCTGCTGCGTCGAGTGCAAGGGATAAACGACGAGTGGTAGGTACAGCACTGCTAAGTGATCGAATCGTGCCGTCTTCGAAGAGGATGGTGTAACCTCTGACATTGTTCCCGGCTAGAAGAGCGCTAGGCACGCATTCGAGAGCTGCTTCGAAAAGGGCATCGGTGTGTTTGGGACGATACACGGCGATTTGTGGGAGTATTTCGGAGTTGTCTTCTTCATTTAAAATCGATGAGACGACGGCGAAGGTGCCGTCTGTTTGGTTGATGGCTAGCTTGGCTTCTTGTTGATCTTCAGCGTGGCCTTGCAGGGCGATTGTATAGTGTTGGCTATCGTCGACTAGGTTCCAGACACGGATGGAACTGTAGTTTAGGACGATGAGGTAGCGGTCGAGGAAGCCCAGGTCTTTCACTTCTTGGTCTGAAGGCACGATGCCGGACTTTGTGGCAGTGATGGCGCCAGTCGTTGCGTCGAGAAAGTGGACGAGAGGGTGCATTGGCTCGTCGGTAGTTCTTGTGCTGCAGGCGATCGTGGAGCCATCGGGAGAAAAGGCTAAGCCAGCATCCACGACTGAAAGTGTTCTCGAGGGGAAGGACGTGACGACAGTCGCCAAGGTCTTTGGCGCGTCCTCTGGTCCATCTGACATTTCGACTGCAGAATCGGCCGGGTCATCATCAACCTCTGCAGTGACTGGCAGTGCAACGGTCTTTTTGCAGGCCCATTCGACAAAGTCAGATCCATCCTCTTCCTTTACAGGCACGCCATGCCTCATTCTGATTCGGGGTTTCCATAACTTGACAGCGCCATCTTGGCCGACAGTCGCGAAGCTATTTGAGACCGGGTCGGACTTCAATTGCAGGACGCTCCCAGCACCCGCGCCAAGATCAGCATTCGCCGCACGGTCATGTGGCCCGTCGACTCTTGTACTCAACGTCCACATTTCTTGATTGGCGTTCCATTTCCAGAACTTGAGATAGACTTCGCGCCTCTTCGCCTGTTGCTCCTTCAGCTCCATGATATCATGGGGTCCAAGTGCAGTAGTCTTCGCCACAGCATGCTCTAGGTCGCTTCCGGGGATAATCCACTCGTCGATGGTTGCAAGCCATTGGCCATCGGCGCTTACAGCGAGGTGCGATACATCTGGAGGCATGATTGGCGTACCTTCAGGTCCAAGGTTGAAATCAGTCACGTTGTTTCGCGACAGGGCTTGTCGGCTGATGTGGCGAGAATCGCGTACATCAAAGGTTTGCAGGAAAGGTCGCGTACTTATATCTCGTGCGTTCTTTGGCTGGGTTGATGGCACAGTCAAGAGCAGCTGAGTGGGATCGCTAGGGTGAAGAACAGCAGCTGTGACTGGCATCTGAACGCCATCTACCAGGCCAGTTTCGGTCTGAACCGGAAGCTGCAGGCCCGCAAAGTTGGCCACAGGTTTCAGCTCGGTGGTGCTCAAGACCATGATGGAGTTGTCACCCATCTGCACGGCGTAGCGAGTACCATCCGGCGAAACAACAATTCGCTCGACCTCGGCAGTAAGATGGGGCACGAACTGCTTGTGACCTGTTTCGAGTTGCCAGATCACCATGACGGACTCTTTGCCACCTGATATGAGGTAGTTGCCATCTCGCGAAAATTTGACTGTGGATACTGCCTCCCGATGCCAATGCAGGATTCGAGGCGCAGGCAATGCCGCAGTGTGAGGCTTGCCGAAGAGAGAGGCAAGGTCTGAGTAGACGTGAATCTTGCCATCTGCATTGCCGACTGCAAACACCAATTCCGCTGGCTGCACTTTATTCTTCTTTGACGTTGTGAGAATTGCTTTAGCATCCACACACTGAGGCGGAACCGTCATTGGCATCTCCAGCCAGACGTATGTGTCTGTCTGCTCCTTCCTCCTGCCAAGAATGAGGGCGGTGGTGCCAAAGCAGATGATGAAGGATGCGTTCTGCGTCACCTGGATACTTCGAATCGGGCGATATGTGGAATAAAGCAGCTTCCGTCCACCATTGATGTTGTAGCTGCCCTGTGCATGGCTGATATAAAATGATTCGGGTACGCCATCTAAGACCTGTGCTGTAGTGCTGGCTATGACAGCCTCTTGTCCGGGGTACGTTGAGTCAGAGGTTACGCCAGTAGTCCAGTTCCATTGAATCTTCGCTCCATTGTCGTAGGCAATATCCACATGGTCAGCGTACTTGGCGCTCAGCGAGAAGCATTGCACAGCTCTGCCGTCAGGGACGATGTGTGTACGCGAGACCAATGAGTTGTCAAGATGCAGGAGTTGCACTTCTCGGATGGTTGCTGCAATCAAACACTCGTCACCATTCTCGTCTGTAACGAAAATGGGATCGTGGCTGATATAGCGTCCTGCCGAGGGCGGAGAGAGCCACCAGCCATGTTCATTGGGTGCAGACAGCTGCTCATCCTCTTTGATACCGGCCTTAACCTCTCGCTCTGCCTTCCGCCTAGCCTTCTTGTCGCGTAATCGTTGCTTCTTGTCTTCTTTCGATCTGAATCTCGTCGATGCGCCTGCATCTGCTTCAACGCCTTCCTCTACTTTCTTCGACAACTTCGCATTGGCTTTTGGCGTTACAGAATCGACCATAGATGTATCCTCGTCTGCGTTTGACACGATTGAAATGTCCTCGCTCGCCTGCACCGATTCTCTCCTCCTTTCTTTCTTGTTCTTTCTTTCCACCACTTTGACATTTCGGTTCTCCACGGGAGCCGCGTTGGAGGATGGGTCACTCTCTTGCTCTGCTACACCCATGTCGCTCTTTCTCGAATTTGGGGTTGCTTGCTTGACAGCAGCATTTGGGCCAGGAGAATCATGCGCATCGGCGGGCGCTCCTTTCTTCGAAGATGTAGAGCCTTTTGTGACTTTCTTTGAACCATCATGTCTCGGTACCTGAACCTGCGGACTTGCATTGCCTCTACTATTCGTCTTCTTCGCCGAGTCCGCCTGCGATTGCTTCAACCTCTTCGGTGTGTGCTCCGTCTGCTCCTCCAACTTCCTCTTTCTCTCCGTATCTTTCGCCATCTTCTCTCACTGTCACATGCGACAAAAATGAAAAGTGCATGTGAATGTCGCCGTCTACAGGCTGTTGCTTCCAAAAAAGCTCTAAAAGTTTCGTGAAGGGTCCGTGCACGAATAAGCTTCAGGGTTCCGGCTTCTGCAGGGCAAGTGCCAGACGCGGGATTCTTTGTCGAAGAAGACCGACTTCAACTTTCTTTGCGACAACGACAACATACCCGGAACACTAGAGGCTGGCATTCAATACTCGGAAATCCAGCTCGCGACCGCCAACATGATCATTCCAATTCGCTGCTTCTCCTGCGGCAAGGTACATTTACTACTTCGTCCGCGATCGCAAAGCGCATACTGACAAAGGATTGTTCGCAGGTCATTGCAGACCTTTACGAGCGCTACGTCGAATTAATTGGCACGGTTCAAGAGAATGGGGACACCATATCAGACGGGTATGTCAAAATGCTGGCGTGAAATGGGGAAACATGCAATCGGAGCGCCTGCGCGCAGAGAAAGAGAAGGGCAAGGCAAAGCACACTACCTAAGACGTGAAGGAACCAAACGAATTCTAAAAGATGGCTGACATCTTATCAACAGCGATGCAATGGACCAGCTCGGCCTGAATCGCTACTGCTGCAGAAGAATGATGCTTACACATGTGGATCTGATCGAGAAGTTGCTCAGGTATGTGCTGTACAGTACTACTTCGCTTCGAGAGAAAGGATGCTGACCAAGGGGAAAAGATACAACCCTGCAGAGCGCGACATCATCAAGAGCGGCCAGCGATAGAAACCCTTACTCCAGCATACGGGCGGAGGTTATGAGATTCACGAGCGAGGTGTTATGGCGTAAGAAATCGGCTCGGCTGGCGCGAACAAGGCATAAAGAAGCAGACTTTCGCGACACCCGTCGTCTGCTGGAAGGTCAAGGCTGGCATTCATTCGAGATATGCATTATCCAGCCTGATGAATTGATCGTTTCTCCTTCTACAAGCGGCGAGAGACTAGAAGTCGCGATTCGCCGTGACGGTCACAGACGTGGGCATACACTCGCCACGACTGTTACATGGGACTGATCAAGTATGAACCGAAATCGACGTTCGAGGGCTATCTACGTGTTTATTGACTAGCTCTGATCACGGATTGCAGATTGGTTAGAAAAACGGGTCACCTTATCTTTTCCTTTTCCCCGACCTTCCCAAGCCCAAAGACCGTCTGAGTGACTAGCCCATTGTCGGCAGACCTTCCGGGAATGAAGAGCTAGTCAAACGTGCGAAGGCTGTGGAGCATAAGTATGCTGGACATGAGTAGTGCTGTGAGGCTTCGGCACGTAGCTTTGGCTACTGGTCGGCTCCGAGTTGCTGCTTGACATGGAACTCGTTTGAGGCACCACCGGACCAGAAGTGACTGGGTTCGACGAAGTAGAAACCTCGGTGCTAGACGGCGTATGAGGCTGTGGGTGCGAAGTGCTGACGACCGAAGACGAAGACTCAGAAGTAGAAGAGCTCAAGATTGGATGCGTAACGGATGAGTTTCCAGTTCCGTGTGTTGAGGACGTGCAATCTGGTGCAGGAGTTGTGTGGACGGTCGAAATGGTTGTGTTCGAAGAGGTAGGGTAAGGAGTGGAGGTGTAATTGGCGGCCCCGGTGGACTTTGGGAACTGAAGTGCTGCTTGCAGAGTGCTATTGGAGGTGCTCATCGGATGGTATGATGGTGGCGATGGGTGATTGCCATGCTCGGAATGTCGAGATCCACCATCGAGGTCAAGCAGGTCAGCAAGACCCCTGATGATGCCGCTTACAATCGCCCAGATCTGCTTTGGATACTGCTTCGGATGCTTTGGCTGCAGCGGGCACAGCTTGGCGCATGAAAGGACTCGTTCCAGCTTGACGACTTGCAGTTGCTTCTCGAGTCTCTGACGCGTCACTTGGTTCTTCTCTTGCCCGATTTTTGCCATCAAACCGGCGATTTGCCGGTCGTACTTGGGTGTGCAATTCTCGTGATATGCCGGGCCGGGGCACTTGCGCTTCTCAGCTGAATCATCCTCCATAATGTCAACATCCCGAGTCATTGTAGTCGAAGTAGAGAGCGCTGTCGTCTTATCGTAGCTAGAAGTTCTAGACCTCCGGGAGTAGTTCGTCGATGCAGCTGTGGGAACCGTAGAAGAATTGAGCAACGAGAGATCTAGAGGGATCAGAATCTGAGGAAGGTCCGGCCGAGAATACCCATTGCCAGGAAGAACCTTGTTGAAGATAGCATTCTGAATCAGATAATCAATGTTATCGAAGCGATCGTGGGTGAGTTCTAATTGTCTGTACTCGATGTCACCCTGCTTATACCTGAGCTTGTCGACCATAGTGCTACTCCACTGCATGTCCAGAGAACCCGAGGTCTTGCAGAGATGTAGTTCCCTCATCAGTGCTTTAGTTTCGTTTTCGAGGATGGCGAAGTCGTCCGATGCTTTCAGTAATTGAGCCCGAATGCTGACAATATCAACCGGCATGAGCTTTCCAGCTGAAATGGCCTCGGAAAAGTCTTTCTCAGTAGCATTGATGTTGTCCAATATTCCTTGAGTAAAGGTCTCGTCATTGAGGTATTCCAGATATTCGCATTTTTCCATGGGAGTCAGAGCTTCTCGTGAATCAGGGTACTGAATGCGTAGGGGCGCGGTAGGATCGTAGGTCTCCGGGGCCGGGGTAGCATATGGCTTTGGGAATAGGGAGACCGATGGGTCGATCTTAGGACCGTGACCGGCCCAGTCAGGCCACACCGTGTTGGTGGCCGATGAGGATGATTGGCATTCCGAGACGTTGTAGGAAGCAGCGGTAGTGTTAGTGCATGCGCTGGGGGTGGATGGTGCACTGTTGAAGGGAGCCGCATTGGCATGGTAGACTGCACAGGCGGCAAAGACGCCTGCCACGATGGATCCGCGCATGCTTTGATCTGTCCTTGTATGAAAGTGAAAAGGGTAATCGGGAGGGTGAACTAGAAGAGGATGGAGTAGAGGAGGAGATGCAAGCATTATGTATGTCGATTAGCCAACGGACCAAAGAATGTCAATGTGCAACGTTCTGGGTGGGTGAAGATTTGGTTCCTGGTTTGTAACAGTCCCAGTGGAAGTCTCATGGTTAAGGACATCTGGAGTCAGTATGTTTTATAGGACCAGGTTCAGCGCAATATGACATCGGCGCTTCACAAGGAGTCGTTACCGTCGATTGCAGCCACTCGCCAACCATTTTGTTGCAGTCTCCACAATGGTATCCATAGCCCGCGAAGATATCAGTATGCTTCCCACGGATTCCTTTAGTTCAGTGAACTTTCCAAAATACGAAGGCCTATAATGCTGATCAAACTGCCATATGCGGACGTGAAGAGAGCTTTTCTGAATGTCCACCCGGTCTTGCACTCTATCGAGGAGTCATTGAGTTGCACAGTCAAATCCTCGTGACCTTCTGGTCGTCTAATGTTCCACGGAAGGATTCGGTCAACAGAACAAGTTCGAAAGGGTCCACAGGTATATTGCCAAAGAGCGAAGCCAGCTCCGTGAGGTTGTGACTGGATATGGTAACGATCGATTCATTCTATCCAAGACTCTGAGTATTGTGTATTGACGACTGGGGTTGAGCTTCTTCCAGATCTGGTATCAATCGGCCTTCACGAGCTCCGAGAGATTCTGCACTGTGCGTGGATCGGACTTTGGCTTGGCGACATATTGATGACATCTTTGGTATGGACCCGTGCCATGTCCGTCCCGTCCAGCTGTCCAGTTCAATGAAGGCACATTCGAGCTGCCACGCCAAGTCTTCGCAAGATCAGATCGTTGGTGTCGTGATCAAGTTCCCTGCCTGCCCTGCCCTTGCTGATTCCCTGCAAAATCATCCACTAGCGCCGATCTTAGCCGCACCAATAGCGTCCTGCCACCAAAACAACCACATGTATGCTATACCACCACCACCTCCCTACAACCACACCACACCACCAGCATCGCAGCAGATTGCCCACACTCCTTCAACCCAAACCAAACCAAGAAAAATGACACGCGCCCAACAACAACTCTCCCTAGGCCTTCTAGTAGCCTCAGTAAACCCCACCTCACATCTCACACCAACGAACTGAACTAACATTGAGTCTCACTTCCAGATCTACACAATCTGCGTCCTAGGCCTCCTACCCTTTCCCTCCAAGATCCAAAATGAAATAATCCCAGTGGTACGACATTGCCCTTCATAATACATCTTATGCCTTCACTAACGCTAAGCCCTATCCAGCTCCCCTTCTGGACCCTCATAACCTTCGGCGCCTACCTACTCGCAAAACTGGGCTACGGAGTCCTCACCTTCAACGATGTACCAGAAGCGCACGAGGAATTGATGGGACAGATCAATGAAGCGAGGAAAGAGTTGAGAGCGAATGGGGTGACTGTAGATTAAAGAGAGAGAGACGTGGGAAGCGCCGGCAGGACATGGTAGCACAGGGAGAGCAAAAAGATTTCGAATTCCTCAGGTCAGGTCTGGCTGAAAGAGCTAAAGAAAAAGAAGAATGCAACATCTCTCAGGTCCGATTCCTCCTCTTCCTCCACAGCGAGACACGCTTCGCGAAGCCTCTTGGTTGGTCTTGGGTACAGATTGGACAGCCTTGAGGTTGCTCAGGATGTGGTAGGTCTTCAGGTCTGGGACATGTAGTGTCCACGCTCGGTTCCACAGCGCTGATATCCTCGATATGCTCAGCATGGTCACATCCTCCATCCTTCTGGTCTGGCATGTCGCTCGTCGGCGCTGGCCTAGGCGAGCCTCTGCTTCTGTTCCTCCGTTCTCCCGCTTCCATAATCTGCCATCCACTCGTGAGTTGATTTGGTGGGCTTGCATCCGGGATTGGACTCAACCCTCCCGAACGATTCCAGCGGATCGGTGCATTGGCTGGGCTAGAGCCTCTTGAATGTCTGACAGGCGATCGCGATGCCGATGGCAGCTTTCGCTCCAGCTTGCTCTTGTTGAGCAGGAAAGAATCTCTGCTGGTGAGAAGGAGGCTATTGGGTCTAAGGTGATCTGTCTCGGAATCCTGTCGTCTGATGTGACCGCGGACAATTTCGACACTGTCGCGGTGAGACTGGAAATGGAGCTCTTCCTGGCCAAGATTCGACAGCTTTCGCGGAATGCTGGGTGATGCGGGAAGGCTGTTTCCGCGGGGTGTGACATTAAGGTAATCACCGGCCGCAGTGCTGGCATACGCAGTCTGTGGTTGCGATCGACCAGTATTCAACAGCCCTCTTACATTAAGCTCGATCGGAGCAGGAGATTCATCGAGATCATCTTCATCTGCAGCTTCTACGATGGGTGACTGAGGCTGTGACGGTTTCGCGGATGATGGGGCACTGTGACGAGCAGTGTTAGGTGGATTGGGCGGCTTATCTCCGGACAGCGTCTGATCAGAGGACGTTCCTCTACGGCGATTGGCATCGAGGAGTGGCAGTGGTCGCTATCCTAATCTGTCCTCGGAAGACTCGTCCATAACCTCGCGAGACCAGTTCCATGCGGTAAGCTTTGTCTTGACGTGGTCGATCATCGGAGTCGTTGCGCCTGGGTCGTTCTCATCAAACAGGATAAATTCAACCCCGCTGTCCGGATCTTTATATGTGGGGGCTACGCTGCTCTTCCGCGATGGTGGCGGCTCTTCCCATAGCATCTGATACAATCCAAGATCAGACTGCACGGTCTGCGCTGTGCGTTGTGGTGTTGCAGGATGCTCATGAACAGTCGTCAAGCGGGGAGAGTCGGAGGGATGGACACTGATTGCCGTGACTGCTGGACGGGCCGGACTCGCTTTTGGGGCAACGTAAGATGGTGATCGGATTCGCGACTTCATTCGACATAGCTCTGTCAGAGACGAGTAGCGGCGATGATCATCGGTCTTTGTCATCCGCCGCCCACGTTTCGGCTTCTCGGCCTCTGTATAAGAAGCTCGGCGAATTGGTCCTGGCTCCACCATTGGTTGCGAGCCACACGGAATGTACTCAGTCTCGTCACATGTAGGGATATCGTCAGGCGCCTCACGGATTGGGGGCATTTCGTAGGTCTCGCCAAAGGATTTTGTTGAGCGAGGTGTGCACACCACATCCTCACCTTCCATGTCACTCTTCGAGCTGGGACTTTCTGCTTCATCTCTGGCAATATCTGATGTGACATAACGTTCGGCAGTCGACCCTGAACGCCGTTGATGGCGACGATCTTCGAAATGGCCATCGTCGTCATTTTCGTCACGGTCTGAGCCTTTGCATGCTTCCTCATCATCGGAAATAGTCCTCGCCGAACCTCTCGAGTCTTCACTACGGTCGTCACTGTTTGACGCATCGTCGTGTTCTTCCCCAAAATTGGCTCCGCTTGCCGCAGATTGCAACAAGGTTTCATCTTCGTAGTCCTCACTATCGTCAGCCAGGGATGGCCGCCGATCCATTGGGCCATAAAACTTGTCAATTGCTTCTCGTTGGTGAGCATGCTCGTCATGGCCGTTGTCGTATTGGAAAGATTCGTGAAGCCACGGGTTGTCAGATACACCACTCCAAGTGCGAGGCAATGGCTGTTCCGATGTGACGATCGGCCTATCCACTTGTCCTACGTCCCAATCTGTCGGGGAACCAAAGTCAAGAAGAGTGTCAGTTGCAGTGCGCCGCAAAGCAGCATCAACTTCTGAGAGATCTGCAGGAAAGTGTGCCGACTTCTTCTGTTTCGGAGTATCACTTGCGCCTTCAGGTGAAGTCCGCGTCTGATTGGTGCAGAGGGCGCTCTTGAGTGCCAGAGGCGGGACCGACGCAGAACGTGGCTCGGAGGAAGCTTTCTCGCCAGATAATATTCGTGAAAACGAAGCTTCTGTCAACGTGGATGTGTGCCGAGTGGCGGACGGATGAAGGGTGCCATACTCCTAGTAGTTGCGACGCGCGTAGAAACGCAGAGGATCGTCTTCACCAGACCCTCGCTCCGTTTCCTCCGCCGGATAGTGTATGCTGTCTCTCAGGTCTTCTACATCGTCCGACATGGATATTTCGGTACCCCAGGTATTGCATGGCGTTAAGCCCGGGGATATAAATGCATCTTGCTCGTCCCTGACGGCTTTCGGTGCCTCATCAGTAGGTTGTACGTGCGGGGAGGAAGATAATCGGTCGAATGAGTTCGCCATGAGGCATTAGTATCCGTCAGATATACTCCGTGCTGGTCGTGGCGTCCGCGGTGTTTCCGAGCCTTTGCTCTGCACCACTTCCGCCACAACACGGGAACAGCTACCGCCAGGGCAACGAGGGTCGTAGCAATGAGAAGCGTGAAGAATGGAACCTTGAACCAGTACCGGAAAGTCTTGTCGTGTTTCCACAGGTCTTCACAGGTGCGATCCAGAAAGCTTCGCCGCAGGGCTGGGGCTTGTGGAGGATATGCTTTCCTTCTGGTCTCCCGTCGTGCTTGCCGTTATACTGACACCATATGGTCGTGGGTGGCCGCTAATCACCAATACCTGGTAGAATTGGAGCGGACATGGGAAGGTTGGGAAGGGGGAGAGCGTGTGGTAGAAATGCCGAGAAAAGTGACAAGACTGATTTTACATATAGCAGCATATCAATTCGGTGGAATGGAATGGTGACAGCAGGCATATTAGTACTGCATAGTCGTATGATTCAGGAAGGCCGAGCTGGAACGGTTGATCTCTCTATGAGAAATAGTGGTCATACTTGCCTTGGAGCTCGGTATGAGTGGCTTATGTGGCATCTCAGAGTCAATTTCCACGTCGATGTTATGATGCTGCCTGCGATAACCTGGAATACATATGTATGTGTACATATGTAGGCATAGGATGATGCATGCAACTGGAGCAAAGGTCGATGGAAGTTGAAGTGACCCTGACGAGGATGTCTTGGCGGCGAAGCTGGAGCTCTCCGCATGTGAAAGCTGGCCATATCAACAAACACCTCTAGCTCTCGACTCCCTGTTTCTTCAATCCATGCTTAGCAGAAAATCATGAAGTCCGTCGTAGCGGCTCTGGTAGCCCTCGAATATGTATCAACTGCCTCGGCGGCACGACCGCGAGGTGTAGGCCCTGAATGTGAGCGTTCTCCTTAACGGCAGTGCTTCAAAAGTCGAGATACTGACTGTCCACAGTCGCCAAATTCTACGAAGAGGCGACGTCGTTCACATGTATATCAAATCCACAGACCAAGATTCCCTTCTCACGCGTGAACGACGACTACTGCGATTGCCCTGATGGCTCTGACGAACCTGGCTCGGCGGCATGCGCACATCTCTCGCCATTGTCTCCGATTACGAACGATAGACCGAATGTGACGAATGCACTGCCTGGCTTCTACTGCAAGAACAAGGGCCATGTTCCTTCATATGTTCCATTTGCCAACGTCAATGATGGCATTTGCGATTACGAGCTCTGCTGCGATGGTAGCGAGGAGTGGGAGGGCATTGTGAAGTGCAAAGATCGATGCGATGAGATTGGCAAGGAGTGGAGAAAGCATGATGAGGCTAGGCGAAAAGCTGAAGGTGCTGCACTTAAGAAGAGAGCCGAGTTGGTGAAGGAGGCGCAAAGAGCAAGGCAATTGATCCAGGATCGGATACAGACCCTAGGCACGGAAATTGAGGGTGCAGAACTCAGAGTCAAGAGCATGGAAGCTGAGCTCCGTGACGTCCAGAAGAAAGAGGCTGGCAAGACAGTCAAGGCTGGTGCCGGCTCTGGCAAGCTCGGCCAACTAGTAGAGCTGGCACGAAATAGGATGAACGAGCTGAGGGACCACCTAGTGAAGACGAGGACTGAGCTGACCGAAACTCGTGCTCGCCTACAACAGCTGGAGCAAATTCTGTCTACTTTCAAGGAGGAGTACAACCCCAACTTCAACGACGAAGGCGTGAAGCGGGCAGTCCGAGGCTGGGAGGACTACATTGCCGCTCACTCTCTTACACAAGAGCCAAACTCTGCCGTCGAGCGTGACTTGGATGAGATCACCAAAGATGATAGCGAGAATGGTCTGAACTGGGACGAGTACAACGAGGAGGCAGCAAGCGACACAGACGTCTTGTACTCTGTCACCAACTACCTTCCACCCACCCTCCGAAGCTGGGTTGACGACAAGCTTCGCGAACTTCGCCAGACCCTTGTCGATGGCGGTATCCTCGCATCGACTCCAGCACGCTCAGGCAGCCAAAGCAAGAAAGTGATTGAGGCCCGCGACCGCCTCGAGAACGCCAAGACAGCCCTCGAAAACTCGCAAAAGAGCCTCTCAGACTCCAAATCCGATCTTGAGACAGACTTCGGCCCAGATGACGTCTTCCGTGCCCTCAAGGGCCAATGCATCGAAAAGGATAGCGGAGAATATACCTACGAATACTGCTTCCTCGACAGGACCACGCAAAAATCCAAAAAAGGCGGCGGTCATACCGGCATGGGAAATTACGTCCGCATGGAGAAGATTATGGTGGACGAAGAACTTCCTACCGACGGCAAAGGTGTCGGGAGCGGAGAAAGGATTGCGATGAAACATGAGAACGGTCAACACTGTTGGAATGGACCGAATCGTGCTACGACGATTGTCCTGGCTTGTGCCGAGAAGAATGAGATATGGAAGATTATCGAGGAGGAGAAGTGTATTTATCGCATGGAAGTTGGTACACCTGCTGTTTGTGAGAACAGGAATGGCAGTGCGAAGAAGGTTAAGGGGAAGGATGAGTTGTAGAAAGGCCCAGAGAAAATTACCCTTTGGTCTTCTTTCATCGTTTTTGCATTGATGATGGCGATGGTTGAAAGTGAATTTCCTGCTCTTTTTGATGCGGAGTAGAAGCACAGGAAATGGATCTAAAAAATTATGTGTGTGTACAAAGCCAAGGGGAGCGATATAGCTAGAAAGGTACGGGTGGTTTTTCAGGCTGGATGAAATGAGTCCGACGGTACCAGGCGAGTCATGCATGGAGAGGCGTTGCAACTTCTCTTTTCGAACAATCTGCAATATGATATTTCCCATATTCCAAGAATGAGCTGGCAGACGGAACTCCATTCTCTCCACGAAAGATGCCACAGCTAGGCCAAGATCAGTTGGCACAGCCTTAAAGGATGATCAAGGTTCAGTGGAGGCGAAAAGAGGCGGCCCGTCTGGCTTGCGCTGCGGCCTGAATGCCTGAATGCTGACCACTCCCTCCTCTCCTTCCAAACTACCATTGACAGCATTTCGAATCAGGCTCTCTTCAACTTCCACTACCATCCCTCTAGCTCCTGATCGACCTTCGAATCATCATCACCCGTCGCGAAAAAATCCGCACCTCGAACGAGTGCAGTTCGCAGATATCATGCGCTGTGCCTGGCTGTTTTGCAACCAACCTTTGCAACATCTCCTGCAGTCATATCATGATGCAGCGTGACCCTATCGTGGACAAGCCCGTCGTACCCCCGATACTGCTTCTCTCCACAGGAACAGCGTATTGTGTACCAGTAGTAATAATATCCCAAGCTTCGAACTGGAGGCTGGCTTACGAGCATGCGTTGCCACGAGCCCTGGCCTACTGGCGGCGAGTCTGGATCCTGTTGCTCCGGGCCGCTAGACGCGAATGGCGTGTTTTTGAGAGAACCTGCTCTCATTTTAGCAATAGCAAATAAAGCAAGGATTCCTGGCTTCGTCACAAGAATGCACGGACCAGAACTCCATGTGCTTGGCGCTCTATATGAGCTCCGGCGGAACCTTGACTCCTCTCCTCTCCTTTCGTCTGCGCGCTCTTCCAGTCTTCCTCCGCCATCTCATACATACACCAACGCGATCGCCGATCAGAAATCATGGTCCTGCGCGTGATAAACATGGGAAATCTCCCTGATGGACTGGAAATCCTGATCGGCTTTGATCCACGCCGTACAAAGCTACCAGGCCCGCCTTTGCCGGATCTACCGCTAAGGAACGTACCAGCATTCCAAGCACCTTCCAATGCCAATCCTCAAGGTCTCTTCACACACCTCCAGTCGGAACACAAGAAGATGCGTTGCCACGACAAAGCTTTCCGCTTCGTACGACGTACCAATGACCGCGAGGTCCTCGTGTATGTGGACGGATCATGTCTGGGTCAGAACAGTCCTACCCGACGCGCCGGATGCGGGTGGACGTACAAGCCAGGCACGACGACTTCTGAACCAGAGAGCTATGCGATCAGGCTGGAAGGCAAGGGTCCAGATGGAGATGCGTACTCGCAGACGAGCAATCGTGCGGAGCTTCGTGCGGCTCTCGGTGCTCTGGAATTTCGAATGTGGCCAGGCGAGGTAGGTTTCACAGCTGCATCAGCCATGAGCCGAGGAGCATAGCTGCGTTCATCTTTTCAATCATGCTCAATCTTATCAATGCTATTTCAAGAATAACTGACTCAGCGTACTATAGGGCTGGCGAAGAATGGTCATTGCAACCGACAGTGAGTACGTTTTCCTTGGAATCACAATGCGAATTCAAACCTGGGCGGCGAGAGGGTGGCGAACGGCCGGAGGTCAGGCGGTCAAAAACCAGGATTTGTGGAAGAGGTTGCTCGATCGAATCAATTACTTCGCGAAGTATGGTCTGGAAGTCGTATTCTGGAAGATCCCGAGGGAGCAAAATCAATATGCTGACCTGGCTGCCAAGAAAGGGGCTCGAGAACCTGATGTCGAGGAATTCACAAAGTATGAAGGTGTTCTTCGCTAGTCGAACGGAGCAGGACCTTTTCTGAGATGTTTCAAACTCCAGGCGAAAATTTTCAAATTTCAGTATTGTGTCGGTTATCTATGTGCCAGGAAAGCTGCGGAGGAACTTGGCAAGTCCTGGTCCTTCACTTAGCAGACACGATATCCGCGAAGATAATGGATGGGCTGAGAGCTCGCGACTCTGAACCCAAGAATGGCTGCGGAGCGCACATTGGCCTCCTCATCGTCGACAAGATCCCCGCCTATGCACCTTGGATCGAAGTTGGACGCAGGGAGGGTCTTTACGTCGATGGAAAGAATTGATACCCTATCTCGACTTGGGATACAAGGAGCTCGGAACACCGATTTTGATCGGCGCAAAGTTTTGTCTTCCTGCTTCAACTCCGATCAGAAACGAGAGCTGGTTTGTAGAGAGTGCTTGTCATTGCCATGCATTACTATCCCCATGTCGCCCTTAGCCTCTGCTACTGTGCGGTGACTCCGTCCTTGCCTCGCAGAATCTACTACTGGTTTGACCCTCGATCGCATGGCTGCGCAGATTCCTGCTGAGACTTCCATTCCTTGTACCCCTCTCTGACCTCGCACACCAGCCGCTGCAAGCCAGGCAGCGACCGGTCCTCCAATACCGGCTCCGTGACCTCGCTCACCTGCGACTCCACTTCTGCACACTGTTCCAACGTCCAGACTTCCTCCCCAGGGGCCCCGAGTGCATCCTCGAGAGTGAGCTGCAGCAAGATCCATAGCGGAGCCGTATTCAAGAAACGGGCCTGTCTTACAAATGGATCCGTCTCGAGTCCTCCAAAGATCATGCCCGGTACACGATCGACGCCAAAAGTCGATTCGATCCCCTTCCACCACATTCGCTGTGGGTTGTTTAGATGCCGCATGAGTGCGTCAGTCACTTTGACTAGACTAGTTTTAAACGTCGCATCGCTTCGTTCTAGCACGTCGGGCTTCCTTAGGTACCGGACGAGGTCGTCTGCCGTGTTCTACATGGTCGTCCGCCAGCGTTGGGCGATGAGGAACGGGTGGTTGCTCTGCCACATCTCCGCGCCTGCCGTAATATTGGTATCAAAATTTACGGGTTCTGCATTCCATGGCAGGGAGAGGTGCGTGAATTCGAGCGTAGTGGCCGCGGTGTCAAATGAGAGGAGTAGGTCTGAGATTTTCGAGATCCAGATGAGGCTGATACTGGCGCCTCTGAGCGGCTCGATTGCGTCCTCGAGGCTGGTGAGGCTGCCGTGCAGCGTATGACACTTGGCGTGGAATCCTGCAGTAAGGACGGTAGCTTGATGGAGTCTAATGGTTCTGAGATCTGCATGTGGATCCATATTATGTGGTATTGGTATGTAACGAAATCGATGTTGTAGTTTAGAATCAGACGTTGCCCGTAGAAGTCGGATGCAAAGAGGTCTTGTTTCCAATGAGAGAAGGCGCATGGCGCTGAGGCACAGTTTCCGATTGTAGCGTGCACGATCAAGCAGGTGCGAGGTATAGCAGCGAGGAGCAGGTAGTCAAGTGTGCTATTTCGAAGACATGGTGCTCGTCACGTCGCAGACCGACCTTGAGTGAGGCATGGTCTGACGGAGCGCATGAAACGCTGCATCTTTCGCCAGCTGCAACTCGCTTCCGGTCGATTGAGTGTTGCTAATAATGAGCAGTAATTACAACCTGGTCAGACCGCCGAGCACCTGCAGCCAGACATACCAGGGCCACCATGAATCTCTTCTCCTGCCCACTGTGCTACGAAATCCATACGGACCAGAGGATTGTTCCCAGGCTTTTGTCGCAGGCGATCTCTGTATCTCAGAACAACGAGTTGTCAGCACAGGTAAACACATTCAGAGAATCATTTGGATCCTGCACACGCGCATTCAAGTCAGAGATGGACGTGTACAGTCCAAATACTGTCAAGAAAGCAGAAGCAAGGATCATGAACCAATTGAATATCGCCAGCGAAGACTTCCGCCAGGTAGAGAATTGGTATCCCCAGTTAATGAAGATCCATTGCGCATTGGCCATGCCGAATGTGAACCTGTTATTCGAGTCAGCTCAAATCTCCTAGCTACACACTTGACATCTCACCAAGTGACAAAGAGCGCAGACGAGATAGCCAGTATCGAGTTGAACGCCGGGATGGCATTGGCCAACACAAAAGCCGTAACCCAGAACGTCGTTCCGAGTCCAAGCCATACTCCCCACGTGAGGAAAGTGTTATCGGTCAGCTTGTGCTGTGTCTTGATGATGTTGTCCATCACAACGTTGTACATATACTTGATCCCTGTATGTCCGAAGACTAGTCCAGAGCCAAGCATGGTTGGAAACAAGATGCCATACGCGACTTGACTTGCTACACCAGGAGCAGATCCAAGAGCTGGCGAAACGACGTACTGTCCGGCCATCGCGTAGATGACACACGCGACGATGACATACATGGGTATGCCGAAGACATTGAGCCAGATGATCGCCTTCGGATAGTCCTTAGATGGATTGCGCATTTCGCACATTACAGTGATGAAGGCCTGATTCCCGGCATATGCGAAAGCAACATTCAGGACGGATTCGAATTGCTGATTCATTGTTGCTGCTGGATTTGGGCCGAGGAGCATCACGAGTGGTTCGTTCGCGGGTTCACCTAGGTAGCCTGGCGTCGAGGTACTGGGACCATTGATCGCGAGCGCGATAATCACAATGATGACTGAGGTGACTACAGTAGACATTAGCGTTTGATTGCTTTTAGGGTAGGCGGAACGCACAAATGCTGATCGTGGCTGGTATGCCGAACCAGCCCGCAAAGGAAAACGTGCGTGGCATGCACAGTATCCAGCAGATGATCATCGGAATGCCAATGAATCCGACCGTGCACAGTGCGTGATCTGTGATGGTATTGAGAGCGATGGATAATGTGACATTGGCCGAAGCGCAGATCAGGCAGAGATTCAACACGTGTGCGATGCCAACGATGATTTCCAGTGTTCGACCACCCATAATTCGTCCGACATCAACGACATCTCGGATTTGAGGATAGCGTCGATAGAACTGAATCAAGATGTATGCGGTATACGTAGCCAGGACGCCGAATGCGATGATCGTGATGATTCCTGGTATCAGGCCAATCGTGTGTAACATTCCTGGTAAGCTGAGGATGCCAATGCCTACTTGATTTGTGAAGAATATCAAGGTGGTCTATACAGCAACACGGATTAGGAGGTCTGCTCAAGACTATCATGGTTGATTCGAGACTTACCCGGACCATCCCAATTTTCTTCCCACCATAGGGATCTTCGACTTCGCCGGTCTGGTAGCGATTCGAGTCTCTCTGGTCACTATTCGATCGTGATTCGCTCTTGGTGTAGTCTTTGCCATCGTTAGGTATATATAGGTCCTGATTTGCAATCGGCGGCATGCTCTCTATTCTCTGCTGTTCCAATCTGGGGGTCCGTTCCAAAGATTGTGCCATACTGGATCTTGCTAATTCGTGTTTAATCTTCGGTGGAGTTTCCCAGTGTATAGCAAGATAGTCTTCCAGGCTCGAGATGTCACCACTGAGGCCTTTATCCGTTTCGCTGTCGTGCGCTGGTTGTCGCAAACAGAGGCGTAATCAGCGTCGCGAGTGACAGCTCACTCCTTCTCGGCAGAACGATAGCAGGCCGCCAATGGAGTTCCCCAGCGCTCATTTGGTGTGGTTCTGTCCAAGAAACGCCAGGGATTCCTGGAAATATAGTGGTGCACAAGGTGGGAATGTATGGTAGCTTTGTGGCCAATGGACTTTGCTCCTCAACAGATGCCCGGTTGCAGCTGCATTTACATCATCGCTGCCATGCGGCATGGCAGGACATTGCACCTCGGCGCCAGTCGTCTATACTCTTCGCCTTCGTCATGCCATGTTGCTTGCCATGAGAGGCGCACGTCCGAGAAGCCAGTTACCCGTCATCGAGGCTTGGCTGCTTGGCTCTCTTCCGATCACACTCTAGGCGCGGTGTTACCGTAGAACCTACTGTATAGACGCAAGAGATGACCTGTAAACCAGATAGAGACCTTCCTTTCGTACATGGGTATCATAAACCATAAAACCACCATTCTGTGTTGCATTCCAAGATCAATCAGTCTCTATGCTCAACTGTACACTGACATCCCACCTTACGCCCCCGAATTGCTTCATGATCACATCCGTCGCTTTCTTTCGTATCCTCGTTAGGTCATCAGCATTTATGCCGTACCCGTCTCGGCTTTTGCGGTATCGCAGCTTCAAGTTTGCCATGCATAGGCCATAATGAACTTGCCAAAATGTTGCTTCGTCCACGTTCGTGACTGCTGCATCCGAATTTGCAATCTCGTCGATGATATCGGGCATAGCGTTCTTTCTGCGCGGATTGTAGCTCATCAACAGCATCGATGATAAAGAGGTTCCAAGCTTCGCTCCGAGTGCAACCATGAGAAGGGCGATAATGATGGACAGGATAAAGTCGAAAACGCCGTAGTGCTGTTGCGCGAGAAACGGCAAAGCCAGGATGAGGACCGAGCAGGAGATCGTCAGGAAGTGAGATGGATTGCCGAATATCTTGCCCCAGCCGGCGAGCAATTCAAACCGCATGGCTTTACCGATGCGAGCATGGTTCTTGAGCAGGACTGCGGAGACAATGGTTGCTGCGATTGACAACAGACTCGCGGAGTCGACATGTCCTGCGCCAACTCTGTCATGCGCGTGTGGAGAGTGAGCGACGTGACTGCCGACATTCTCAAGCGAATGCTGAATACCATGGCTTATCACGTCAAGGCCCATGAACGCAATGAACACTGCCATGCCAAAGCCTGCCAGCACGTCTGCTCGCTCCAGACCGAACGGGTGCTTGATTGAGCTTCGTTTCCAGACCTCGAAATTTCCCATCACATCGACAACAACGCAGACTGTGGCACCTGCTGCGTCGAATAATAGCAGCCGGCTCAGTGCGGTCATTGCCAAACTGCCCGCACCACTGAATTGCACGTAGCCCGCGATCAGGAAGTGACAGGCACACCATGATAGGCGTATCGTTTGCTGCCGCGTCATGCTCCACCAGGCCTCTTTTCTTGTCGGCATAGGAAGACTCGCGGGTACAGCGAGAGGTGTTCGTCTGCTCTCCGGCGGCTTGAATATGCCCTCCATATGGCTTGCATGAATAGACGAGTGCCTATATTTGTGCCCCCTCCTCTTTCCCACGAGCTCACTCTTGGAGCCAACCGACGGACTGCGCTCATATTGGATCGGTGTGAAATTGAACGGATTGGTAACAGCAGCGCCCGCGTTGCCATCAATGCTCCCAAAGCCTCCATCTAATCCACCCGTTTGCGGCGTGAGAGGACTATACATGGTCGTCGCCGGACTCAGCCTGCCATTTACACTGAATGTAGCACTCTCAGGCGACAGCATCGAAGCGGTAGAATCGGTCCTGCCTGATTCTGGCCCAGGCTCAACTGCGCCGAGTCTCCGCTGGGGAGAGTCATTGATGCCTGTGTGGATATCATAGTCGTAGTCGGTATGTATACTTGGCGTGCTATCGTTATGGTTGTGCAAACCCAATCCAACATCACATGGTCGAGGTTTCAGAGTGTGTGGGGAGGGCGGGTTGTCTGAGGGAGGTGTTGGCGTTCGAGGTGGGAGCGGAATCGGTAGATTCGACGCCATTCTGGACGGTGCGGTGCAGGTGCGTGCCCGTGTTATCGGCAAGATGGAGGATCAGTGTGTCTCCGAGGCATCGATGATACTCGGTTTGGGGTGGATTGCTTCAACAGCTGTGTTGTTGGTGGTTCCGTGTTCACTTTCATTCAGGGGCTTCGGAGATCCGCATTGGGAGACGCGGCGGAGGCGGAGGCGGAGGCGGGCGGAGTGCCAAGACAGTGGGTCCTTGTCCAACTCCATCTCTTTCTGCGACACATTACAGGATTTCACCAGAGCTTCTCTCCGACATCCGACACATTGACACTTCCGCCTCCGATCGATCTTACACGCGACCGTCGATCGGTCGATAACAACACGCAACGCCGGTCCTTTCATTGCAGCAGGAGTAGCAGCGAGGGCGTCAATGTGCTTGCTACAAAATGGAAAATGGCCAGACATCCCACGGCAGCGGCGACCGCCGTAGAACCGTCAGTGGCCCGCTTCCTCCTCTCGATCTGGAAGCAGAAGAGAACGATATGAAGAGGTCACCAGACAACATGAAATTTCCATGGAGCTCGCCTTCAGCTCCAGCATCGCCAGCCGAGGTACCAGCTTCGCCCGGCAGGCAATCTGGCCATAGACGCAGCTTGAGCGGCAATCTACTCGCCAAGTTCAACTTCCTCAAAGGCGTAGTTGAGGATGCAAGACCGCCTTCGAGGGACAAGGAATCACAAAATCCTCAGACCTCCAAAAGTGCCAAGAGCTCGCGAAGCAGGAAGAGCGTCGACGACGATGACGCGCCAGACTCGCCTGTTTCGCCGGAGAAGGGTAGCAGTGCAATGGCGTCCGCGTTGAAAGCTACCAAGACGCGGAAGAGGAAAGGGTCTTTGCGCAAAACTGCATTGCTTGGTACCCGCAAGCTCGTCACTGAGACCCGGGAGAGGAGGAACAGCGTGATGCATCGGAGCCCGTCTAGCAAGCAAATATCGACCCCGGTGCAGCCTGAAGAAGCACCTTCGACCACCCCCACGCATCTCGGCTTGCCTGCTGCTCTTCGCCGCGAGCCAGAGGTTGGCAATGGACTGCGTCACAAATTTAGCTACGAAAACGTGACAGCCGCGAGCAGTAGTGATAGTGGCTGGGGAGAATCCGCCGCTGCCACAACCGCACGTCTTGCTCTCTTGACAGATCACAGAGTACAGCAAAAGCCGTCCACGACCTTGTCTAGCCCGCTTGACTTGAAGAGCCCTGTGAGCAATTCGAGCTATGCCAGCACGACAGACGACGATGAGGTCTTGACCTTCGATCGCCCAGCTAACAGCTTCGCGAGCTCTCAAAGCCTGAAGAAGCCACTGTCTTCTGCTGCGAGTAGCTATTTTCCATCTGAGACTTCTATCTTAGAGCCATCTATTTCTCGGCGAGTAAGCTCGAAGCATCAATCGTCACCGCTGTCGCAGGTGGCCAATACGCATTCTCCATATACTGAGCCAGAACCACACGACTATACGGAAACGGAGTACTGGGGCTGGGTTATCCTCTTTGTCACGTGGCTGACCTTCACGGTCGGCATGGGAAGCTGTCTGGAGATCTGGAGCTGGGCGTGGGATGTCGGCGAGACACCATATGCACCGCCTGAGCTCGAGGACGACGAAACCCTGCCAATTGTCGGCTACTATCCAGCATTGATTGTCTTGACGGGAGTAGTAGCATGGGTTTGGATCACTGTTGCTTGGATAGGGATGAAGTACTTCCGACATGCCAAGATTGAGGTATGAGGAGTCGATCTGCTGTGCGCCGGCGCATGTTCATTCCACGTGCTTCGCCTCATTTTGGAATAGTCCCTGCAAGTTGGATCTCACTTCTGGTATAGAAAAGTCTCAGCTCGAGATTCTCACTGCCTTCGCGGGCCGTCAAGATGCATCCGGACAGAGGACAATACACCTCCCGCCTGCTGGTGTAACGAAGGGGACGAGCTGCACGTCCTTTGACATCCAGTTTGCCTGCACGGAAGAAGTCGATTGTGTCGGAGCCGTCGGCATCGATGTCTGAATGCTTCCGAGAGACGACTTCATCTAAAGTCGCTAATGATGTAGCCAGCAGGACAGATGTTCGCCATCTCTAGAATATCGGACGAATCTGAAAGCGGCAGCAGATCTATCGGAAGACATATACCTGCAATCTAGATATACCAGAGAGCAGCTGAGAATGGTATGAAAATCTCATATGTCCTTTCTCCTCTCAGGTCATTCAACAGGACCAGACCAAGACACAATGAACACCGTCCAAAATGCCTGTGAACACACTGGGCTCACTACCAAACCTTATGCCATTGCCAAGACCAGGACAAGTGAAAGGCGCATATGGACACGCTTCCCATCCTCTCAGTCTGCAGAGCACCTCCACTTTTACGTATTAAACATGCTGATGAGCGACGATCTGCGTCTTCAAATATCTATCATGTCCAGCCATGACCATTCCTGAATCACAAGATCTTCCCTGCTGTAGCCCCAACTTGAGCCTTCGAACTACACTGCGCCCAAATGATCCTATGCACCAATGCCGTTGACTATTTCGCTCCCACGCAGCATGCCAATGACACTGGAGATGCTGCAAAAATCCTATATCATGGGAGCGAGAGTCAACGGACTACAGCACATGTAGCCATGGCACAGTCTTTGAAGAAGCGATCGCAGAGCAAGCTGTGGATGGGCGAGAAGAGGCATGGCTGCACGCAAGGCCGTTTTGTCTCGATAAACTGCATCTTCGAGGGTCATGCAATAGCTTGAATTCGTTCGTATCGAACTCTGAGCATCTCTCTGCTGAGCCGTTCGACTTGGCGGTTCAACATGAACGCCGTGCATTAAATCAATGGAGGGCTTGTGAGCTTTATGGCATGAAGTGGTAGGCGAGCTTCATCCTACCACTAGGGCTCATCCTCACAGACAGTGCCTGTCTATCCGCAATAGGTACACGGCGTATTCGGAGCGCTCGGTGCATTCGGAGCAGATAATGGGAAGCCACAGGCCTCGAAGACGACGACAGTGCTCGGTCCGGGTATCACAGTCCGATTAACGAGACACGATGTTCTTTCGAGACTTTGCTTTGCAAACTTTCAATCTAGTCTGCAAATCACCCATTTCACCAGCAATGCTCACCACTCGCCCAGGGAACAATATCCTCGAAGGCAAGACTACCCCAGAGACGGCACAATATGTCGACAGCAATGATCTCCGAACAGCATTTGCAGCTCGCATGTCAGCGATGTACAAGGCCGAAGTGCCTCTGTACGGTGACTTGGTCCGCATTGTATCTGAAGTCAACCAAAAAGTGATGACTAGCAATCCTGATATCGCTGGCAACGATAGTGCCGAGAGATTAGGAGTTGAACGACATGGAGCGATACGTGTAGGGACTCCAGAAGAGCTGCGTAACATTCGACGCATTTTTGAAGTCCTTGGCATGCGTGCTGTGGGATATTACGATCTCTCCGTTGCTGGACTGCCCATGCATGCGACTTGCTTTCGACCTACAGACGCAGAAGCCTTGGACAAGAATCCATTCCGTGTCTTCACGACATTACTACGCCCTGAACTCTTAACTTCCGAAAAGGCGAGGAAGTTAGCTTTGTCTTTATTGCAAAAACGTAACATCTTTACGGATCGCCTACTAGAGATCTTGGACTCCATCGACCGCCAACAAGGCCGACTTATCGTCAGTCAAGCCGATATTTTCATCACAGAAGCTCTGAAAACATTCATATGGCACGACACAGCCGCCGCAACTTCCGAAGAATACTTTACACTCAAGAACGAGCACCCGATACTAGCAGACATCGCATGCTTCCGAAGCTCACACATCAACCATCTCACACCCCGAGTTTTGGACATCGACATCGCTGATACTGCTATGAGGACTGCCGGCATGGCTGTGAAAGACACAATCGAAGGACCGCCCAAACGAAAAAACCCAATCCTTCTGCGCCAAACTAGCTTCCTAGCCTTAGAGGAAAGCGTCAAATTTCCCACAAGTTGTCAGAACGACGCCCTCATCACTGGACACCATAAAGCGCGCTTCGGAGAGATCGAAGAACGAGGAGCTGCCTTGACGCCGAAAGGTCGAAATTTATACGATAAATTGCATGCCGAAGCTGCGCGGAAAACGGCACTGATTTCTGGAACCGTGGCAAAAGAAAACACACGACGTGCAGCCTTCACAGCCTTCCCCGATGCTTGGAATGAGATGCGGAGGCAAGGACTTGTATATTCTCGCTATCGCGTGAAGAAGTCTGCACAAACTTTTGAGACTACGGGACCTGACCTCGAGATGTGGATTGAGAGAGGAGTGATTGAAGCCCTGCCGATAACTTATGAGGACTTTCTGCCATTCTCTGCAGCCGGGATTTTCCAGTCTAACCTTCAGACTGAGGCGCAGGCGTCTGATGTTTCGCGTGGCGACGGGGATCTAAAGGGTTTGGAAGCGGCGCTTGGGTGTTCAGTTGTTTCGGCTGAGGAGTTGTATGCCAGGATTGAAGAGAAAAGTATCCTTCAATGCCTAGACGAGCTTCAAAGGTTGCGTTTATTAGCATCGGACGAGGATATAGTACGATAAGGCCTCGGAAGATATAGAGGCACCTTTGCGGCATGTAATGTCTTGACGGGAGACATCGGATTATTATATCATTAGGCCTGCCTTGATTAGGTAGTAGCGATGCGTAGAATCCTCCATTACATGCTTGGCGAACGTATAGCAATGGTCCTCGCCCGACCCTTCGATGCATCCTCGTCGCCGACCTGGGCGCCCGACAAAATTCGAATCTGAGTGCGTAGGTACTCCACCACAATACCATGACCGTGAATCATCCCATTCACTTTCTTCCTCTCACTTTGCTCTATCGCAAGGTCAAGTGCCGTTTTGGCGTGAAGATCCCGAGAAATAAGAGTTGTACAACCCTCGTCCATTTCAAACAAGATCTTGGTAACTTCGATGCAACCCGCGAAAGCAGCGTTATGCAATGGCAATCTGCCTTCAAGATCTTCTGTGACCAGTGTGGTTTTCTCAATGTCTGCGTCGAGTAGGACCCTGGCCAATTCTGGCTGTGCGAGTCTTGCGGCTCGGTGCAAGGGAGTTTCGCCTTGCAGATCTTGCACGCATAATGTCGTCTTCCGCGCATCTGCTTTGACTAGTGCTTTGACCACCTTGTAATCAATCGCGCTGACAGCAAGGTGAAGTGGAAGCTGGCCGTGGCGATCCGCAACGTACAATGCCGGCTTGGAGACTTTTGACTGTGCTAGGACCTTCACCACTTTCAGATGGCCGGACTTGGCGGCCATGTGTAATGCTGTGAGGCCATCCACGTCTCTGAGCACAACATCTTCATCGTGCTGAATGCAATACTTCACGACATCGACAAGCCCAATGCTCGCTGCTCCATGCACGAGGCTGCTCCATCTCCGTTTGAGTTCGCGATATATTGCTTCGGCATCAGGTAGCTCCTGGGTCCAGAACACGCGCTCTTTGCTACCGACGGCAGGCTCTACACCGCATTCGTCGTATTGAATGGCGGCTTGAAACAAGTGAAGACCATCATCAAGACTCAAGGTCCTGAGCAGGATTTTGATCAAATGTCGAAAGATCAGATCATAGCCCTCGGAGATTGCAATTTTGGCAGCTTCGAAAATGAGGTCTTGTTGCCTACTGTGAAGTCTGATGAGTTCCATGGCATGGATGGGCAATGCGCACATCTGCTTCAACGGGCCGGCCGTTGCCCATGTTGAAGTCGCATACTGTAGTAGCGCCATTTGCTTGGTTGTCAGTGGTAAATAGCTCTTGGTGCTCCAGACATCGCTCGATGCTGGCGAGAAGGCACTCGCGCCTGTTTCTGAACTCGGTCGATCAATGATACTTTCTCGATGGTTTTGAGGTATGTAGACGGTGCGATTTCTTGCAAGTTTTATGATTCTTCTGACATCGCACGAAAGACTTCTCATCTCAGCAGCAGAAAGATAGGCTGCGCAAGCCATCGATAATCGTTCGGCTGCCTTGGAGATGCTTGTTCGGAAGCGGCGCAGTCCGAGTGGCATATTGTGCTCAACCAGGAAGTCTGCCACGGACTGATGGATGAACTCTACGGTAGCATGTTGTCCTTTGCCATGGACTCTCAAGAGGAGCTCACAAGATCCCAGCGCCGACGCTTGTAGTTCATCGATGAGTGCGTCGCTGGGCAGATGCTGGCCAGGTCTGAAATGACCGGGCCTGTAGGCTAGAGCTATGGCAAGTTCCGTGAGCGTCAATGGGCGAGAGGCACCGAGAACGTAGTGAAGAGTACATTCTGCAAGTTCGATATCCTCGGTCTCAATTCTGCGTAGCACTCGCACATAAAGATCTCTGAGCGAACAAGAGTATCTCTTCAGTCTTCGGACGACGAAATCTTCTTTGACGTTTGCAACACACTTCAATGCCAGCGAGATCCAGAGAAAGGTGCCGCCATTGTTGGATTGCAGTTGCGCCTTTACGTCTCTGCACGTGTCTTCGCTCCATAGCTTTGTGCCCGCCACCATATCGACCTCTTCGTCGATCAGCTTTCCGAGATCTTTAGTGATCACAGCCGGTGTAATGCTTATCACGGCCATCCACTCGAGTTCAGTCCATCCCGAAATGATCCTTCGACATGTGCCCAGATCCCATGCGTGCGGCCGCGTGAGAATGATAAGCCGCCAATGATGTCTCTCCACGGCAGGGCTTGAGCGAAGCAGTTCTTCTAGCTTGCGGACTAAGATCTTGCGCAATGCCACCTCACAATTATCCAAGGAGTCCAGCAGCAAAGTGAGCTGACCAACCCTGGGGTCTTGCACAACTCGCACAAACAGAAACCAGAGCGTCTCCATATCGTCGAGTCCAGAGTCTCCATGTAACTCCAGGACGCGATGAGCATGTTCGATCAGTAGAGGGCGTCTCGTGAGGATCTGATGCAGCAGTCCTTTCAAAATCGAGACAGCCGTCCTTCGCTGAGGCTCTGCATGGTTGCAGAAGAAGAATGCGAAGGTACTGTCGTCTGCTGCTGTTTCGGATGTCAAGCGTTCGACCAAAAACGTCGCCATGGCTGTTTTCCCGATGCCAGGCTCTCCAACAACCATGAGAAGCTGCGGGTTTGCCTGGTCCCGCCATGCAACATACTCCGGCCTTTCCAGAATCCATTCGCAAGTCCCATGGGCGCGTCCCTTCCGAGCGCGACTCTGAGCTTTGAGGAGATCTTTTTGCGGATCAACGACGAACAGGGCCTCCAGAATCTCTTGCACGCTCTCCGGCGCCACCGGCGGACCACGCTCATCTATGCTGTTCCGACCTCTGGAGGGCAACAGGCGATCCATTCTTTATTCTAAGCGTGTTGCCCAGCTTGGCGATGCATCTGCTGCAGAGAGCTGAAAGCAGAAGAACGGTTGACATCGCGCGCGATCGAACAGCCGAACGAACTTATTCCCCTGCATGGCCAGAGTGCGCGAATGCACGATAAGATTGGCTGCTATCGCAATTCATGTCTTGGCAGTTGGCATTGATGCAGTGGAATGATCGTATTTGGCATGCAGAGGCATGGATGCAGGCTTGATTTCGCATGTTCATCAGGTCGGAGAGTTGCGGTGACCAGGTATGATGCTTTCGAACCCTAGCTTTCAGGAGACCAGCAATGGTGCAGCAGATCCTGATGAGGAGAGATCACGGAATGAGGTGCAGCCGAGAGCGTGAGGTCAGCATGAGTGAGGAGGTCGTACATTTTGGCTGATGAGGGCCTGCGATGAGTACTCCGGCAGTTGAAGTCATTGTGCACTGTATGGCATCGATGATCTTGTCGTTACAACAGAAATGAAGTCGTCAGGGTGGTGCCTCACATGATCATAGCGCAAGGCAGGGTTAGAAGTTAGAAGATGGATGGGAGGAACGGGGCGTCGGTATTGTCGCCGTTTTATTAGACTACCACTTTGGTGAAATAGCGGCTATTTGACTAGAATTCATTTAGAATTTAACTAAAAAAGCGCTTCCCTAGTATTTAGTAAAAACAGCCCTTTCTAGCTAAATTCGCCCTTCTATAGACTAAGTATACCTAGTATACTACGATATACTTAGCTTACTTCCTAGTAAAGAATAGGTATAGAATATAAGAGACTAGTTTTCCTAGTATATCTATAGAAGTAGAAGGTATATATTTAAATTTAAAGAAAGATAATAACTATATCTAGAAACTTCTATAGGCGATAGTATATCTTATAGAGAATAAAGAGGTTTAGAAGAGAGTAATCAGCCAACACTATACACAGAAACAGCCCTAGATTCTCTAATAAACGCTATAGTCCTCCTACTTCTATCTCTACTATCTCTACGACCCTATTCTCTATCTACTACTTCTATATAGTAGGGCCTATATATTCTGTCTCTTCTATATACTAGTTAGTACTATATAACCCTTTCGTAGTCGCTTCTTAGTATAGTTATTATTATAAAGCCGTATCTTCTTAGTTAGCCTATATTATTAGTATAGACAATTATTAAATAGATAAGAGGTTATCGACTCGGCCTATTCGTTACCGCTAGTTATAATAGAGTTACTAGAAGGCTCTATAGTAGCGGTAGAAGTAGAAGAAGCGGCGGTTATTATAGAAGGAGTAGTAAAAGAAGCGGCGGTTCCGAGTTATTATAAAAGAAGCAGTTAGAGAAGACGACGGTTAATTAGATAGCGCCTTACTAGCTCTTAGTATAATATTATTATCGCTCGGCGGCTCTATACTACTTCCGCTTCTAAGGTTAATAACCTAGTTAATCTAGTTATCGTCGTCTATGTTTTTAAAGTAGTCGCTTTCGAGGCCGCTTTAAGGCCGCTATTACTAGTAATTAACTATAAGAAGGGTTATATTAGCAGGTAGATAGAGTAGTAGTAGGTATAAGTAGTATTCGATAAGGATCTAGGAGGAGAGGGAGGAAGGTAGGAGAGTTAGCCTATTGCTAAGCGCTAAGCCCTACCTAAGGCATTAAGACCCTAGCTTTACTCGAGCCTAGTTATATACTAATTACGTATAACCTCTTTAGTCCTAATATACGCTTCCCTTCTAAAGGCCGCGCCCTAGTAGCCGGTCTATGTTCTAATCTTAACCTCTATTACTACTAACTTAGTAGGTCTAATAACTAACTCGCTCTTAAGCTAAATTAAACACTTAACTAACTAATTATGTTATTCTATCTAAACCTTACCTCCGATAATATCTAACTTCTAACTGCGCTATTACTATCGCTTGTAGCAATAAGGGGTTATATAGCTATATAAATTGAAGGCTAGTAACTAATTACAATACGAGCGCACTTTCCCTACTATAATAGGTAGGTATATAGGGTATTATAGCACTGCCCTCGTTCTAAGTAAGGTTGTCCGAGTTCTTTGCGTCTACTCTAAAAGACCTAGAAATGTCCGCTCCGAGGGATTGTTCTTATTATTATAAGAGCTATTATTTACTATCGTAGTTTCGCTAGCCCTAATTAGTTAGATTTAGCAGCCTTTAATTGTTAATCTTATCTTATCTTTTTTTTTAAAAAAAAACACAGTTCGTCTAGTTTCTATAGGTAAAGGCTATTATAAGTGTAATAGTTAAGGTTCGCCTTACTTAAAGGGTCGGAAAGATCGAGGAGTAACCTATTATCCGCAAGATCGACTCTAGCTAGCTTAGCTCTATAGTTTTTGCCTTTAGTCGGTCTATTAGTTAGTCTATTAGTCGCTTAACCTTTTAACTTAGCTAGCGTAGTACAGGTAAGATTGTTTTTATAGATATAGTAGCGATAGCAAGTAAGGTTAGCAATAGTAGCGAGTAGGTAATATTAATAATAGCGGTACTAGTCGTCTTAGCGCTAACTTTACCTTACTTCTAATTTCCTTCTTCGACTAGCAACGCTTTAACTAGCAATATACTCTATAATACTATTACTAATATAGCCGTATCGGCTATCGGTATACTACTAACTCGTAGCGCGACACTATCGCTATTATTATCGTTATCTACGCGCGCGCTATCCCCGCCGACCCCCTAGGCCTTAGAGCCTCGATAGAATAAAGGAATAAGAGAGGGACCTAAATACTAGGAGAAGGGCCTTATAGGGCGCGTTAGTAAAGAGGTAGAATCCTTAAGAGAGTAGGCGATTAGTTAACGCGTTATAGCGCGCTAGTATAGTCTTATTGTCCTAGTTTGCCGGCCTCTAATTAGTTAGCTAATAGCACCCTAGGGGTAGCATTATTCCTAGGCGACATTATAGGCACTTAGCTTTCTTCTTGTCCTTTATACTAGTCTAATACTTATCTAATAACTCGGTTATATCCTTAAACGAGTTCTTAGCCTCCTACGAGTCCTATTTAGGTAAATAGCCTTGCTATCTTAGGAGGTATTCCTTCCTGCCTTGCCTAGTTCGATGCTTTAGGATACGTTCTATAGACTATAGCTCTTTACTATTAGCTAAGACTTCTTCTAACTTAGTAGGCGCTTTATCGCCTTCGCGCTAGTAGTATAGTTTAAGAAGAGAGATATAAAAGGTGTTATAGATAGTATAATAAGGTAGAAGCTATAACTAGTAGGCCTAGCTATTGCCCTTCGGCTCTTAGATACAGAATAGGCTAATGTATCTTAGTGCGAGCTTAGGTTTTGTTTTGCTATTAAGGGATAGGTGTTTGCGGATACGGAGGTTCTTCGTACTAAGCATAACTATATCGCCTTGCTTAAAGGTTATTAGCGTATAGTGTTTGTTATAATAGGCCTTCTAATAGGTCTAGGCCTTTACTAGTTTGTTAGCTATCTTAGCGTAAATTTCTCGCATCTTTTAAACCTTCTTAATAGCCGCTAGTGTCTTAGGGGTTCGTACCGGTAACCGGTGTTTTAGGGGCTTAACGCGCTTCCCTTTCTTTACGCTCGGCCTCGAGCGAGGTAAATAGCTCTTATAGCAAAGCAGGGTTCTAGCCTATTATAGCTATATATAGTAAAACCTTAGTCGATAAGTAAATACTGTTATTATATACGAATTCGGCTAGTTATAGGAGGTTAACCTAGTCGTTAGAGTTCTTATTAATGTAGCTACGCAGGTACTGCTATAGCGTAGCATTCTGCCTCTTAGTCTAGCTATCTGTTTGTAGATAGAAAGCTATAGATAGCCGATACTTAAGTCTTAGCTATAGGTATATCTTACTCTAATAGTAAGATATAAATGTCGACCCTCGGTTAGAGACTATCCCCTTAGGGGTCCCCTAATAGCTATAGAAGATATTATTCTATAGTGACTTAGCTAAGTTAATAGCCGTCTAATCCTTCCGAGCGGAGATATAGTAAGTACCCTTAGTAAATCGGTCTATAACGACTAGTATAGCGTTAAAGACGTCTCTGCTTCCTCTTCGCTTAGTAGAGGGAAGACCTATAATAAAATCTATTATAAGCTCTACAAATAGCTTCTTTAGAATAGGGAGTAAAGACAACTCGCCGAATAGTAAGTGCTTTAGTGCTTTAATACGCTAGTATACTACGCAGGTCTATACGTATTCTTTTATATACTATTTACTATTCGGCTAGTAGTATATATATAATAGTAGCTCGTACGACCTCTCTATGCTATAGTAACTAGCGAGCTTACTATTATAGTGCCTCTTTAAAAGCTCTTATCTAATCGATTGTTTAGCGGGGATATAGTATCTACCCTTAAACTTTAAGTAACCCTTATCGTCGATCGACTAATTGTTATTACTCTTACTAGATCGAGTCGCCCGTCTACTTATAAGCCTATTAATACGCCCGATAGCAAAGGCGTCCCTCTACTAAGCACGTAATAGCTTATCTATAAACGATTAACTATCCCTATTTGCAAGGTTATTTAATAGTACCCGTGCTATCGAACGAGGTACGTATTATATATATCTAATAGCACTAGTAGCCGGATTAACTGCAATCTCTTCTATAGTGCTATCGCTATAGATAGTAATATCTTTAATCGAGTCGTTATAGCTCGAGCGATCTACGTCCTTTTTAACGTATACTAGAAGAACGATAACTCCGCTATAGTATTTATTACCGCCGCGGGGTCTAGAGGTCTACTTATCCTACGCTTGCTTTATAGCAAGGTCTATAGTAATTTTATACTATAGGGTTAGAAACAAAGAATTAATATATTAGGTCTCGCTATCGTAATTAGGTCGCCTCGATAGACTATTAGTAGGGTTACTTACGTCTAGCCGATATAATATATTAAAATCGAACCTAGCGAGGTAGACGGCCTATCTAGCCTATCGACCTATAACCCGTATAACCTTAGTAATCCTACGCAGGTTGTTATAGTCTATATAGACCTAGATAGGGTATTAAGCACTATCGAGATAATAGCGCTAGTACTTAAAGGCCTCTATAATAGCTAAGAGCTCTTACTCGTAAATCTCGTAGCGGCGCTTAGTATTAATTATCTTCCTTAAGAAGAAGGCAATCGGGTACTAATAATAGTCCTTATCCGACTTCTAAGATATAATAGCCGAGATAGCGAACTATAAAGCGTTAGTCTTAATACGAATCTGTTTGCTTAGTATAAAATAGTATAATAAGGGGACTTTAGTAAAGCGCTTCTTTAATCTCTTAAAAGCGGCTTATACTCTATTAGCCTATTTGAACTCTCTAGATAGATTGGCCTTAGTTTTAGTAAGCTTAGTTAATAGCATTATATGCCTCGAATAGCCCTTAATAAAGCGGCGGTAGAAGTTAGCAAAACCGAGGAATAATTAAAGCTCTTTAATAGACGTAGGAATAGGCTATTCGGTAATTGTATTAATCCGATTAGGGTTAGCCTTAACACTATTAGTTAATACGAGGAAGCCGAGGAAGGCTACCTCCTTAGTAGCAAAGGTACATTTAGAGGGCTT